CCTGCTGTTGAGTGGAAGAAACATGAAATCAAAACAAACGATTTCAAAATCTGCGGTAAACTGTCGTTCTTGTAAAGATCTGACGTCGTCAGATGCAAGGGACGCCCGGTGGCTGGCTGCAGTGACCGAACCGGAGCAGTGCTTCTCCTTTGGTCCAGCCGGGCAAATGGTCTGCAGGACAGCAACTCACAGTCTCCGGTCACCCTGCTTACTGCCTGAGAGGAGTCTAAATCGCGTAAATTATAAATTTAGGCTCCATTAAAGGCCTGAGGCTATTGGAAAAATTGAATAACTAAAAGCAAAGGTAAAGACCAGCACATTAAAACTCAGGCAAAACTGGCTAGCACCCATTTTTTTTTAACATGAAAAAATTGTAGTAGAATTAAACTTCAGGACGTTGAGGTTAATTTTTTTAAATTAAGTATTCAAATGATACGAAATTAAAATTTATTTAAACTTTGGTCCTATTGAGAACATTTCTGGAGAAAAACAAGGTAGGAAACTGGATAATTTAGAGGCACAGTCAAAAGTGATTTTATTACTATAGTTACAAAGTTAGCTATTATAACAGTGCCATCTAATGATGCCTGGACAAAGGTTAGTGTTAATGCAAAGGTTCTCAGACCCAAGTGAGGCTGCTGGTGGGCCCATGCCTGTGTGTGCAGTTGCCACCCAGACATCTCAGATTCAGAATCTTACAAACACCTTAGCTCAGTGTGTACGGAACAGACCTCATCAGGCAGACACACCCTGGCAGTCACCAGCCACCAGCTTCATCGCCCTTGTTCCTATCTCACTACATGGTGCTGCCCAGGAAGAACACCAGAGGCATCCTTGGTGCTCCCTTTCCCTCCCCTCTTCCTTGCTAAGGAAAACAAACAAACAAAAAAAAAAAAAACAGAAAAACATGAAATATGGTCGCCACGTACCCGCAAATAGCTTGCATCTGCTTAGAAAGCTAAGACAAAGACAAGACAAATACAAGACAAATTGAGTCAGTAAGACATACAAATCATAGAATAAATATACAAGACCCCTTATACTTGCCAGTGAGTTTTATGAAACCACTATGGCGTAGGGGTTCAGGAAAGCATGCAATCACCGCAGGTAGAAATTGTTTGGTGGTAGCCAAGGGTGTTGTGCTTGCTCTGATGACCAGTGGTTTTCCAGTACATCCACCCTGACCCTTTTTACCAGGAAAACACACACACAAATAGTCCTTTGTTGGTGGCTCTTACTCTCAGGCAAGGTTGTGATTTTAATCTTTTCATTTCCTGAGCTCCCCCAAACCACTGCTGTAAATGCCTCCTAAGGCTGATGAGCCTGTGCGCCCGCCTGTCTGGTACTGTTTTTCAGCATCCAAGTGCTATTCTACAGGGTTCCAGGTTACAGTTCCGTGGGTACGGATGATGTTTCTTTGGTGTGCCTTGGTGTGAAGAGCCCAGATCCCCTTACCATGGTCCCCAAGGTCTAGTCTAGCCATGGTGCCACAGTCATTGCTTCAGGGTTGGTTGCATGGCCCTTAGGAAAACCTTCCAGTAGTTGAGAATAACTAAAATATTGAAACACTATTAAATTACTGAATTGTGAGACCGCAGCAGATCCAAGTCTTACAACCATAAAGGAAGTTAGACACCAGTTGTGGAGTGACTACTATTCAGTTTTTAATTCTGTGTGAGCATCACTTTAGAAGAAAGCGCTTGCTCAGTTGCCTTCAGAGCTCTCTGTCCTCTCACTGGGCAGATGCCTGGATGTCATGAACTCCAGGCACGTTGCGGACCCCGGGCACTGCGGCCCGCTGCCAGGGCACAGCCTCAGGCATGAAGCAGCGCCCTGAAGATCTGCACACTCTGGTGGTGACTGTGCTCCTTGAGTTGGGGAGAACCATTGATCTCGCCAGTTGTTTCTACAGTAGGGTTCCGGGATGTTTGTTAATCTTTCTCATAGACCGTTACTATCTTTGTGTCTTTTTCATATATTGCTAAAATGCATTTAGAGTAAATTTTTGATACATTGAAAAGGTAGTAATGTAAAAAGGAAGGAAGGGAGGGAGGGAGAGAAGGAAGGAAGAAAAAGAGAGAGGAAGGAAGGAAGGAAGGAAGGAAGGAAGGAAGGAAGGAAGGAAGGAAGGAAAAGGTAGTTATGTCCCACTTATTTGTAGTCATCTATCTCAGAAACATCAGAAACATATCCAAACACCAAAAACTGAGGAATAAAGGCCTCTGAGCAGTCCAAGTTGCGGTTAGAAAACCCATGCACTGTACTCAGGAAACTGTTCCTCGAGCCTTCGTTCAGAGCCTGCTCACTTCGTGCAGCGAGCGGAAGTGCTCCACAGAAGGACAAGCAGGCTCCTATGACACACAGCGTCTCCACTGGGAAGCCAGGGAGAAGAAAGAGTTTCGTGAAGTACAGACTGCCACTGTGGCTTTAATGTAGTTAAGCAGACAAACTCAATAGAGTAGCCCCCAAAACTATCAATATATTTCAGTTTAGTATGATAAAAAGCATCCCAATACTAATAATAGTGTAAATGGTAATGACCCTGAGTCATTAAAATAGAATAAATTGTGTTCAGAGGAGGATATAATTTTTAAAAGACTTCCACCAAAAATATTTAAAATTTTTTAAATGTTTGATACTTGAAGGGAAATTTTAGAAAATTCATTTCTTCAGGTTATAAAATATTAGTGTGCATTCCCAATCTCTAAGTTAATTTTTATTGAAGCATATGTAATGTGATTGGCTGACAGTGATAATGACTTGTATTTGTGTAAACTTTGTAGGTTTTTCTTTGCAGTCATTCTATGTGGTAGGTGGGGACTGTGCTCTACTAAGACCCAAAATGGTTAAGTGTTCTGGCCAGGGCCATCCAACTCTGAGCGACAGCAGCGCCCCACCACCTCACAGTACTGTCTGTGTCCTGTGACAGACACAGGCACACTTCATTTTATTGCACCTCACAGATGTTGCTCTTTTTGGTGGGGGTGGGGGTGGTGTTTGTTTGCTTTTTTGTTTTTTATCGATTGAAGGCAAGACCCTACAAAAAGATTAGGACTTGCTGTATATTTCAACGCTTCCTTTATTGCAGTGGCCTGAACCTGCAGCATTTCCGAGGTGTGCCTGTATCATCCTTTTGGTACCACCTTACAGACAGAGCCGCAAGGCACCTTCTGGGCGGGACCCTTCAGCAGGGGCCTCCTGGCATCTCCTCAGACTACACCATCTGCAGCTGCAGAGTTTGCATGAGGAGTTTGTTACACTCCTGTGTACTTCCCGTTGAGTGCTAGAGTTGGAAATGACTTGACACCCCCTCCTCACCTAAGGGTGCCACGGTGACTTCCCTGTGCTGAGGGGAGGAAACAATTGCTATGCTCACACGGCATAACCTTTTGTCTGGTAAAGCAGCTTTAACAACAGACTGCAGTAATCGTTTCTTGATTTTGTTTTGTTTTGTATTTAGATGTGTTTCAGCAACTTTATTCCCCACTTGGTCTTAAAATCTCCCTGAGTCAGGAACAGAGAAACTAAAATTGAGCACCTGCTTTTTGTGCTTTGTGCTTTATGTACATTATCTAATATCGCACAACAACCCTTTGAAATACTGATATTCTGTTCCAGCTTACAGATGAGGAAACCAAGGTTCAGAAAGGTTAAATAATTTGTCTCAGATTTTGTGGATAGTAAATGTCAGAGCCAGAAGTAGAATATAGGTTTTTTAGATTGCACGATCTTTGCTCTTTCTGCTGAAACCCCACTGCTTCAGAGGCCAGAGGAGGCTTGGGGTGGGGGCAGGAGGCTGATGGAGGCTACCTAGGCTGACCTTCCTATAAGGCACCTCATGGCCAGAAGATAAAGTCACAGGTTGAAGAAAAGAATTAGCTGGAAGATATTATCAGCACCATCTGTTCAGCACATTTATTAAGCTGCTCTCAGCACTCTGCCCTGTTACATGAAGAGTCAGATAATAGGCTCCTGAGGAAATACAATCCAGAGAGAGATTGAGAAATTGTATAAAACTCCAGAACACTGGGGCACTCCAGTGCACGGGCTTAGTGAGACCAGGCGTCCAGAAACACAGAGCAGCTCTTGAGAACGCTCGCCGGTCTAACCAGGAATTACCTTTCGTCTGTTTTGAATCTTGTGCCATCCTTTCCTGCTGTCCGCACTGTCTCACTTAAACTCTAAGAGTTGTCCTGGGTCACTCACAGAGAGGGGTTCTTTCATGTATAATAGACTTCCTGTGGATTATTAGAAAATGTTTGTTGAAGGTCTAAGAGAATGCCACAGTGGGGCTGGCGGAGACATAACACCTAACCTTGCGCTGACAGAGCCTCACCGCTTCCAGTGTCATTTCACATCTGCCTCCTCACCTTAGGCTGGGAGTCCGAAACTGCCTGTCTTTCCATTTTTCAGTGTCTGAAATGTGACATTATTGACTTCTCTTCCTCCGCATGCCAGGAAAGGGGTAGAAGGATTCCTGCATTGTTATTCGCAGAATTAAAAAGTCCAGCCAGTTGGTCATGTTGAAAAACCATATTAAAACTATAATGTCTCTAAGTATTTCTAAACCAAGATTTATAATATAAAGTGTCTGAATTTTTGTCAGTGTTACAGACTTATAAACCAATAATTACCTAACAGGAATACCCAGGCCTAATACAAAAGTATTAGGTTGTGCAACTGGACTTAATAATGTAGCCGAAATTTTGTTACTTGAAAAAAAAATTATTTTCAATATTTGTTCTTTAGAAGATAAAAATTATTTGTGAGTGCTCACTTAAAAATATGAAGGACGTTACTAGACTTGACTAGAACGGCTTTACATTATAAGTAGGTAAATACTCATGTATTGAATCAGACGTATATGGGCATTTAGAAGCAGTTTTGGCCAGTGTTCACTCTCTGTACAACATGAGTAACATTAGGTGAACTGCATAATGTAAAATTGGTTCTTTGGAAAATGACCACACTAATTTCCTTCTTTCTCTTTGTCTATCTAGTGAGAACTCAGCAGAGGCAATAGCAGTAGATTCTAACAATCAGTCGAAGTCCCCCCTGGAGAAGTTTATGGTCAAACTGTGCACTCATCATCAGAAGCAGTTCATTCGTGTCCTCAACGATCTGTACACTGAATCCCAGCCGGGCACCGAGGACCTGCGACCTTCGGATTCTGGAGCAATGGATGCATCCACTTGCAATGCTGGCTGTGCCCAGCTGAGTACCAAACATAAGGAAAACGATGTTTTGTGTCTCGATATGAAGTCTCCTCCTTCTGCAGACTTGACAGCAGATTCATCAGATTCTCACAGCCCTCTATGCTTTGCAGAAAAGGCCCTGAAAGAGTCTCCTCCCGAGACAAACTTTGTAGCTGGAAGAGAGAATGCCTTGACTGTTGTCCAGAAGGATTCCTCTGAACTTCCAACCACTAAATCTGATGCCGGGAGTTCAGTGGATAGTGCCACTCTGGGATACCTCAGTACATCTAATTCTTCCTCGTTCAACTTCCATCACATCTCCAAGAGCTTGGAGGGGCAAACCACTGGACAGGAGCAAGACACAGATGTGAAAATATGTGAGGACAGTAAAGACCATGTGCAGAGTTCAGCTTTAGTAGAAAGCCTAATTGCAGTAAACATGGCAGCTGAGAATAGTGAGGAGAACAGCAGCTGTATTGTTCCTCAAAGAAATTCATTTAAAGCTTTATCAGAAGAGGCTTGGGACTCAGGGTTTACGGGGGACTCATCTAGAACTGCTGACAAAGAGAATACTTTACAGTGTAGTTCAAAAACACCTTTGCGCCAGGATTTAGAGGCAAGTGAACAAGATTCAACGCCAAAGCAAGAGAACCATCTTCACTCACTAGGAAGAAATAAGGTGGGTTACCATTTGCCTCCCAGTGATAAGGGCCAGTTTGATCATTCCAAAGACGGGTGGTTAGCTCCCAGCCCCATACCACCCGTGCACAAAGCATCCAATGGACATTCACGAACCAAGACGTCACCAGCCTCCGTTAAGACAGCACGGAAAGGTAAAAGGGCATCAGGGCTACGGATAAATGATTATGATAACCAGTGTGACGTTGTTTATATCAGTCAGCCAATAACAGAATGCCACTTTGAGAATCAAAGATCAGTATTGTCTTCTCGGAAAACAGCTAGAAAGAGTACCCGAGGATACTTTTTTAATGGGGATTGTTGCGAGCTGCCGACTGTTCGCACGCTGGCCAGAAATTTACACTCCCAGGAAAAAGCAAGCTGCTCGACCGTGGCGTTGGAGGCAGTGGTCACGCCCAATCAGGCCCCTGTAATTTCAGCCCCGAGACCTATTGTAGATGTGCAGCTTCCCAGAGAAGACAGCACTGAAGAGCCTAGTGAAGAAATAACCTCCCTCAAGGAAGGAGACAGAGGTGCTTTATCCGAAAAGGAATCTCAAGAGCCCGAGGTTTGCCCCACAGTGAATGAACCCAATCCAAGCAGCTCACCGAGGTCGGAGGAAACAACAGCCGCCAGCCTGGTGTGGCCTCTCCCTGCTGACCTTCCTGAAGAGGACATGCCCACAGACATGTCCATGGTCTCAGCTCCCGCAGCAAGTGGGATTTCTTCCCCTGAACGAGACCAACAACCAGTTGAACTGCCGGATACAAAGGAGATGAATGAACCTGAGGACTGTCACATGGGTCCCTTTACTGAGAGCCTTTCTGAGGAAGGCAGTGAGGATGTTGTTTCCAGGCCTCATTCTTCTCCTGAGACCGTCAGCAGAGCAGAGAGTCCCCTGTGCTCAGCAAATGAAAGTCCCCCAGTGTGCTTGGAGCCTCCCGGGAGCCTGGGAGAGGCGGAGGGTGAACAAAGCATCAGTCCCGAGGCCAAGACTGAGGACACTCAGGAGCTGGACACTGACCCGCTCTCAAAGGAAAGCAGCACTTTTACTGAGGAAAACCCCAGTGAAATTGAGGAAAGTGAGACAGCAGGTGACACAGGAAAATCAGAGGAAGAGGGCAGTGACATAAAACATCCTTCAGAAAAAGATCTATGTGAACAAAACATGGACTCACCTGAGGAGAACTCAGACAAAAAGAAAAAAAGTAAAAAGTTCCCGGAGGCCTCTGATAGGTGCCTAAGAAGTCAACTTTCAGATTCTTCCTCTGTTGACAAGGGCTTAAGAAATCAAAGTTCAGATTCTTCCTCTGCTTGCCCTGAAGTCAAGGTTTCTAAAAATCCTGGTGTAAAACGTTCTAAAAAAGAAGGATACCCCGGTGGAACGACACCCGAGGGCTTTGTGACTGAGGGTCTCCATCCAGAAGCTCTGGAGGACACCGAAAACCCAGATGCCAATGAAAATCCCCCTGAGAAGGATGCTGAGTGGGAGAGCGGAGGAGGCGGGATCATCACCAGGCAGACTTTTAAAAACATGCTGGCAAAAGAGGTCCAGGGGGACGAAGAAGATGTTTCCCCCAGCAGCGATCCTACAACTACAGTTGGCCAGCCCCTGCCTGGGGAGAGACTGGAAATCTATGTCCAGTCGAAGTTAGGTGAGAACAATGCTCATGACCCCTTAGAAAGTGGCCCGTGTACTTTTGCAGAGCCACCCGAAGAGAACGCAGGACCTACTCCTGCACAGGATGTGGAGGAGGTGGCAAATGAGGTGGACAGTGCCGACTCCCAGCATGAAGATGATCACAGCGACGTGCCGTCCAGTGTGCTTGGGTCGTCAAGTAGTGGAAGTGGTGACACTGCTGAACCCCCAAAATGGGCACCTCGGCTCACGAGACAGACCGCTTTGACCTACAACCTGAGACTTGCTCATTCTCTGGACCCCTTGGATACTACAAAAGTGACTTCAGAAAAGGAAGCAGCACAAGAAAGCCCAGCACCAAAGGACAACGAAGCTTCAGAGAGTGGAGATCCCTCAGAAGAGGATGACGGGGAAGCAGTGGTTGACGACCAGCCCAAGTTTGTGGAATGGTGTGCCGAGGAGGAAAACCAGGAGCTTATCGCCAACTTCAATGCCCAGTACATGAAAGTTCAGAAGGGCTGGATCCAGCTGGAGAAAGAAGGCCAGCCAACACCAAGAGCAAGGAACAAGTCAGACAAACTGAAGGAGATTTGGAAAAGCAAGAAAAGGTCACGGAAATGTCGGGGATCACTGGAGGCTCAGAAGTGTTCTCCCGTTCAGATGCTGTTCATGACAGACTTCAAGATGTCCAACATCTGTAAATGGTTCTTGGAGACGACCGAGACCCGGTCGCTGGTGATCACGAAGAAGCTCAACACTCGTCTTCCAGGAGACACGCCCCCCGTCAAGCATCCTCTTCAGAAATACTCACCCTCCAGCCTGTACCCCAGTTCAGTACAGGCCGAACGCCTGAAAAAACACTTGAAGAAGTTTCCCGGAGCTACTCCTGCTAAGAACAACTGGAAAACGCAGAAGCTTTGGGCTAAATTTCGAGAGAATCCTGACGAAACGGAGCCAGAGAAGGGCAGTGACATCAGCCCTGGCCCCAGTTCTGAAGACAACAGAGAGGAAGTCAAGGAAGGCAGGAATAGCCACCCTCCCACAAGCTCACCTACTCCAGCCAGTACCCGGATCCTTAGAAAATATTCCAATATTCGGGGAAAGCTCCGAGCCCAGCAGCGCATGATCAGGAATGAGAAGAAGGAAAGCCCAGGGGGCCTGGCTGTGGACGGTAAACAGGGTTGTAAAAGTGTGTGCATCAACCCTCTGATGTCCCCCAAGTTTGCCCTGCAAGTGGATGCCAATGGGTTTCCCATTAAGCCCAAGAGCACCGACAGAGCAAAGAGGAAAGGGAGGCAAACACCTGAGGTCTTGGCGAAAGCGGAAGTCCAGAACAAACGCAAGAGGACCGAAGGCGGCAGCACTCAGGACAGGAAGGACAAGGGAGCTGCGGTGAAAGCCGGCAGAGAGAAGCATATCGACGGAGCCACCAGAACCCCTGCTGCCAAGAAGCCAGCTGCAAGGGACAGAGTCAGCCAACTGCCCAAAAAGACATCTTTGAAAGAGAATAAAGTAAAGAACCTTAAGAAGCCCTCTGGGAAGAACTGCCCGCCCTCCAGGAAAGAAAAAGAGAGTACAAACAAAAGACCCACCCAGCCCACCTCCTCGGAGACAGTGACAAGACCCGCAAAGCAGAAAGGGGCAGGCGAACCCTCTTCAAGGCCACAGAAAGCCACAAACAGGAAGCAGAGCAGTGGAAAGGCTCGGGCCAGACCCCCAACCAAAACCCCGGAGAGCAGTGCAGCTCAGAGGAAGCGAAAGCTGAAGGCAAAGCTGGACTCGTCCCACAGCAAGCGGAGGCGGCTGGATGCAAAGTGATCGAAGGGTGGTAGCCAAGAGTAAAACTGCTCCATAGAAGTAACCCTTTATTTTGCATTAACTAAATTCGCCTTTATAAGCTTATCAAGCCTTTCAAGTCTGCAGTTAATGGAGAACACCACACTTTAAATGTCAGAAAATGCATCTCAGATGGAGAAGGGAACTTGCCGAGTCTTTCTCTGAGGCTGAGTAAGGGAAGTTATATATTATATTCTGGTTGTTCCTTGGGTTTTAAACTTGGAACCAAGCAGTTTAGTTTTTAAAAGTACAGTGCCTTATTTATCCTTTTTGTGTTTAAAATTTACAAAAGCTAAAAAGCTGATCTATGTGATTAAAGGCTTGTATTTTATACTTGATGCACAAGCACTTGTACTGTAGCCGAGAGACCGCCATCATGCACATAAAAGTAGCTTTCCTGCCGCTCCCTGCAGCGTCTGTGCCTGGGCAGATGCTCCTCTTTGCCGGCCCCAGCAGTGAACTTCCCTCTCTGTCTCGTTTGTTTGTTTAAATGATATTTGAAAGCTAAACCAAATCATTTTTATGGTATGTGGAGAATGCAGAGGGCATTTATAATTGTTGCAAAAGGTTAATATTTCTGTTACCCCTTTTTAAAAACTCCTGTTTGTTGTTGGTTACTCCTCTTAATTTTGATTTTTCTCACTGGAAAAAAAAATGGATTCTAAATTACGTGCCCATGAGACAAAAGGTGTGTTACCGGGTGTGAATTTTGGTTTATGACCTCTAAAAATTATTTGCATTACTTGTTCTTACCATGCTTTGCATTTTTGCATTTTTGGCCTTTTAAGCTTGCTAGCATTCTAACAGGGTTTTGTTGCCCCAGCCCCCACCTGCTGTAGCTATGATTTGCCAATTAGGATAAGAGTGACTATTCTACTTTTCTCTTTTGCCCTAAGTACTTTTGTATTCAGAGAAAGCCAAAATGTTGTTCCCAGTAACAGAAAAGTTTAAGAGTGTGTGTGTGCATTTGGGTGCATTTGCCTCTGGCTACCAGCCACAAATGTCTCCCAGCCCCAGGTCCACAGTAAAAACTTTTTCTTCCCTGTGTGCAGTGCCAGGGAGTTCACGAGCTGGGTAATCAGCACAGGCCACATAGTTCAATGTGGCCCAGGGTTTCTATGAGTATCCCGCAGACTGCTTTGGCATTGGACTCAGAAAGGTCAAAAGAGCACAGCATTATGTGAAGGTCACAGCAAACGTGCAGTTGGAGGAAGCAGCTTCAGTGTCTCACGGTGGGCCCACACACCCTGCACCCGGAACTGATGTTCGTGTGGATTACGTGTTTAGAGTGGGTGTCCGTCCTGACTGGTTAGCACCATACCTGTAGTTTGTGCTTGTAGTATCACTCCTGCCTCTGCCATGTCGGGCTCAAAAGTGAGAGCTGCACTATTTGTAACTGATAATGTTTGCCTTTCCCAAGTGAAGCCTGAGATGGGTACACTGGCTTTACCTTGGTGCCTATAACCTTGCTCCATCCTAACACAGCGTGTACTCAACATTTCCGTTGGGCCACTCTCCAAGAAAGGCTCGGTTGTTAAAGCCTCAGCCAGCTTCTCTCACATGCTCTGTCACCAAAATAGGCTTGTGTGGATAGTTGCTACTCTGTCTTTTCTATTAAAATTTGTTCCATTTAGATTGTTCAGATCAGTTTAGATAAACCCAGATGGACCTTTTTCTGTGCTTTAGTTCATTTAGATCATAAGACAGGCCTTCTACCCAAGCTGTAAAAGACTCACTGTATGTGTACAATGAAAACTTCTGACGATTGGATAGTCCTGGAGAAGAGCATCTGATTCACGGGAAATTAAGAATTGTGTCGAATTTCATAGGTAGTGGAGCTTACTACCTTCAGTGAAGCCTTGATTTTTTTCTCCTAATGTCTCCTCTATCCCACAAGTCCCTTTTTTTCTTTTTAATATCTTTGACTGTGGCCATTCAAGAGCTACCTATATTAATGGAACTGCTGAGTGTGTATGGTGGCAGCCCTTTCTCAGCATTAAGTTGCACAGAAGCATTAATATGTTTTGAGTAGATTCATTTAATCTTTAGAAAGTGGTTTTAAAGTTTAAAATATCTTTGTGTAGGGTCGTCACTGGATACTGTTTGTGGTGACTTACAGCTGGGGCTTGCCTATGTCAGGTTTGCCGGTCCCCGTGGACACATCCGAGGTGCCCCCTCAGCTGCACACAGACCAACCGCCTCCGGGGGCGCCTGCGTTGGGCTAGAGAGAGGCGTTTGAGAGGCGTGGGTGGGACTGTTCTGGGTCCAGGTTTACAACTCATTCCATCTAGTTGTCTAAGCTCTTCTTCTTTTGTAGAAGCTTACTTCAAGATAGTAGCCTTCTTTCTCATTCTAAAAAGCATTTGAGAAAAGTTAACAATATGTATATATTTATTTATATACCTAACAATGCAATGGATCATCTTTAAAATCAACTTACTTTTTAGTGATTACACTTAAATAGACTGGGATTCTACCTAATTATGAGATTAAAAGCTTAGAATTATTTTTGTATTTGTTGAATTTTGTTTTTGCCAATTCGGTTTATTTTGCTAATAGAAGAAAGAAAGAAAGAATAAACTCAAGGGCTGACCGTGGAAGGCCCGTTTACACTCGCAGCAGCCGCTGCCCCCGCCCCAGACACCTGCAGGCTCAGGCTGATGCCGCTGCGGGCCTCCCCAGTCCCCCTCTCTCGCGGAGGCCTGCTTCTCAGCGCCCTCTCCACCGTGGCTCGCCACCACGCGCAAAGGCAGTGTGTGCCACATTCTGGATTCCAGAACAGAAGGGAATTCTGCTCCTGGGCCTGTGCTCAGTGAAGTGACTGTCCCACGGTGGAGCTGAAGTGGGTGACTGGAGACCACTGGTGTGATCTTTCAGCTTTGGGAGGAGCTGGGAGACGCCTGGGCAGCAGTCGCTGAAGCTCTCCCATAGCTCCCCAGAGCTGCGCCCTCTTCTGGAGACCCGTTTTCTATCCTATGAGGCTTCCCGGGTTTGAGAGGACACCATGGAGACTGCCACTTGAGTCAAGTCCAGCCTCACCCCGGCACTTCCTCAGACATGGGGCGGCAGTCTTGCGGGGCAACAAGAAGGCCATGAGCCTGTGTTCTGCTCTGGAGGCTTCCTACATAGGAATGTTACTAGAGTGTGTTAGTCTGCAGTTGCTGGTCCCTTCAGTTGCTCAGGTAGGCCGGCTCTGTTGTGCCTGTGTTTCATTAAGGACTTCTACACAAGCCTTCCCTAAAAAAATGACCTTAGGCCATGGCTCTTATGCCTCAGTGTTGCTGTAGTGTATGGACAGAGAGGTGCAGTTAGTCGTCCCTTCGCACATGCAGTACTTTTAATGGAGTCCCGGACTCGAGACATACTGGGCCGGTGAGTTCCCCGCTGATCAGACAGGTTGTCAGTAAAACACTTCCAGACAGCTACTTTGAAGTTTGGTCTCTTTGCTGACTTGTGATGGAGTCTGTGGCGAGGGTGGGAGCTGTCACTCTCATTTGTGAGCAGCATGCCCATTGCTCAGTGGACCTAAGAGTCAGAAGGAAAGGACAACGTGCTGCATGACGTAAGCTGGAGAGGCTCTAGTGTCACCGTCAAGCAATCTGGGGTCTTGCGGTGGCACCTGGGACGGGGTGGAATTTGCTAAGATGCTGGCCCAGGGACCACGCCCAGTCTTCTGGTTTTAGGGCTCTCTTTCGGCTTATAGATGCTCTGTCAAGAGTCTGCAGCCCATGGGCTGTCACTCTTTTGTAAATAAAAGTACATTGGAACATAGCCACGCCCGTCCGGTGTGGATTGCCTGTGGCTGCTTCCCCACAGAGTAGGGGAGCTGCCCCAGAGACTGGCCCACAGAGCCAGATATTTGCTATCTGGACCTTAAAGAAAAAGGCTGCTGGCCTTGCTTGAGAAAATTTTTCTTTTTCAGGAACAAATATTCCCTGATGTATCTTCTCCTTCTGCCTCTTTGCCTCTCTGCCTTCTTGTTTTCTTCCCCTTCTTACCTCAATTTTGTTCATCCTTTTACTTTATTTCTTCTTACTGCAAAAGAGACAGACCGCATCATTGCTGTAGCACATTGAATACCAGCCATCTCCCGAAATTTGAGCGACCTTAGTTTCATATCTTCCTTTTTAGAATTCCCCATCTCAATAACCAAAATGAGGTCCCCTTCAGCCAAGAGTCAGAACCCATGAGCAAAAGGATTCAAGATTCTGAAACAGTGAGTCCCGGGCCCCTCATTTCAACTATTTTTGTCATAGACCTGACGCCAGCTTCACTTCTTGTTTTTTTCTAAAGTAAGCCAAGATTTTGTTTCTTTCAAAATTAATTGGATGTTCAGTTTTCTGAAACTCACATTTAGATATGGAAAAAGTCTCCATGAAGGGAAAACAAAGTCTAATGATGAATCCAAAGTTCTGTGTGTTATGTAATATTTGGGGCCAGCAGCTAGGAAGGTAAAACTGTTGGCACCAATACTTTTTTCAGTCCCATATTCTTCTTTCAAAATAATTTTATTAAGGGCACGCCAACAAATAAAAATAGAGTATTGAAGTGCTTTAGAAGAGAATAGTAGAAAATGGGAACATACTCTGACCCTGAGTGTGACTGACAAGTCATAGTTAATAATCTTTAGATCAAATCCAGTCAACTTCCAAGTTGTTCATTGCCCCTCCCCCAAAACTCGAGGATAAGTTTCTATTTGTTTTTTTTAAATGAAGTTGAATGTCATATTGGGGAACAATTTTTGTCAGTATCCCCAAAAGAGGGGAACTATTTCAATTGTTTTGAAGCAGATAATTATCATTTTGAATTCTTAGCTATAAATTTTTGTCTTACAGCTCGGTACCCACTGAAATACTCCATGTTTTTTTCTATAAATATGAAATCACATGTATGTGTGTCATCACATCAGCAAGGCCGTCCTCACACCCCAGCAGTAAGCACTCTTCCTTGTGCTTACTCCCAAATTATCGTCAGGGAAAGAATAAACTAAAATAAAAAAGTTATTATATTTCAAACAAGCAGGATTATGGGAAGCCTTTGAGGCAGTCATCAATATAATCCTCCCTCGAAACATCAAAACAAGCTGCTGTTTTCTACCGCACACGGTTGGAAGACTTCGGGGGTCTGACCTTCAGGCTGAAGCCCAGAACTCTGGTGCTGCTCCGGGCCTCGTCGGGCTGCGCCGGGGCTGGGCAGCCTCCTGAGCACTTGGAGAGGGGCATCCCCGCTCATGCTCTTGTCCTTGGAACTGAGCTGGAGCTGGTCAGTTCCTTCCATTACCACCCATCTGCCTGATCTTCCTCTTCACTAAGCTGGTGGGTGACGCCCTGTACTTTGGAGCCATCCTTTGCTCCGTCCTTCAGAGGGGGTGTTGAGCAGTTTTGCTCGCCTGATGAGCACAGCAACACACACTTTCTCCCCTGCCTGGGACCATTCCATTTAACACAAGGTACTCAGTAGACAAGCCGCATGAAAGTATAGGCTTCCTATTTAAAAAAAAAAAAAAAAAAGTTTTTTAATACGCCAGAGGTTGGAGGAATGTATTTTACCTTTTTTACAAAGGGTTATTTAAAAAAGATAATAGCAGACCATATGTGGCCCTCACAGTACCAATATAAGATATAAGATAAGATATTTACTACCTGGCCCTTTACAGAAAAGGCTGACCCTTGCAAGATGTCATTCAGAATCAAATTTTATGGATAGTGAGGTGCAGACTTGTTTTTTTCATGTAGCCCAGCATTGCAGCATTTCTTCCCTTTTGGATCTTTAGGGTACCTCGTGTGTTCATCTCAGCACGCGGCTGCTGTGGCACATTGTCCCTCAGTGATACTTGTGGTTAAAGAAAAGACCCAGTTCATTGAATCATAGACATACCATCTCAGCTACTAGGATAAGTATCAAAGGACAAAGTTTCAAACTGAAAGTACTACAGTCTTTCCCATGTTCGTGAGTCAGGGTGAACTTGACTCTGGAGAAGCATCCCTCCGTGCCAGTGCTCAACACGAATAGTCTTTGCCTGTTGGAACCTTGAACCCAGACCACCCATCCTCAGCTCTAAAATACCAGCATGTCAGTGGCACCGTCTTGGCAAACCAGCAGTTGTAGACCGAAGTTCAGAGCGCTCTGGCCTGGCCAGCAGAGCTGACCTGGTCTGGCCGGGCTTGTCACTTTGAGGAGCCGCTTTGTCTCCCCTCTTCGGCTTCTGCCACCAGCCCCTACCCGGGGGCGTCTTCCCTGGAGTCTCCCACCCCACGTGCTTCACTGGAGCACTTGGCCTTTCATCTCTCTTTTTCGTCTGATGTTTAGCCACTGTTTCACCCCCATCATTTTCTATAGTCTACACCTCATGTCTTGTAGCTAAAACTGTAGTATTGGGGAGCTAGTTTGTGGAAAAGATGCTATACAGGCAAGATTTGCATAATTTTGTATATTTATACCACAGGTAGAGATTAGTTTCAGAGCCTCTGTAGCTTAAGGTTGTTAGTTTCACCAGTGGTTTCTGCATTCTCAGTAGTTCTAGGAGACTCTGTTAGTGACTATGGTTTCAAATACATATTTAATACATATTTATACACACCACTGTGGAATTTATTTCATTATGTAAATAGCGATATTTTCCTGTTCAAATGCTTCTATAGAAAGTATTTATTTTTAACAAAAAAAATGAATTGTCAAAAGGGCTTTCCAAAAATGCGTTCTTTCTAGCCACCCCGTCCTCCCCAGCTGCCACGCTCACCCACTGAACCTTCAGACAACACAGTGCAGGCAGAAGGATGGGGCCTTGAAATCCTCACTGTTTGGGGGCAGATGCAACGTGGATTCGGAACCTGAGTGCACTGCCCACTGTCACCCCGTAACAGGACAGAGCGGGTCTCCCACTGTCGGTATGGCTGTGCCAGGTGTGGCACCCTGGCTGGCCTCAGGCAGCCCCTGTTTTGCAAATACAGTTGGTACGTTCACCTGTGCGCTTCAGCAACCTGTGCAGGGAAATGAGCCTTAGTTGTAACCCCAAGGAAATCCAAACCCATACCTGTGGGATATGGAGAAACCACTGGTTGCCTACAGAAAGCATTAAGCTGCATTTTAGTCTTTCTCATGTTTGTGAAAGACACCTATTCCCAGTCTCACCAGCCATGGAGGGTACACATGTTTTCTTTCACGCCTTGATCATAGTCGTGAGCGGTCAGCTCCCTTCCTCCTTCGCCCCTCCCCTCTGCATCTCAGCAAGCATCTGTGCACGTGTGGGCCAGCCCCACCTGTAACCAGTGGTTACAGGACATGACCATCTGTTCTAGCATGTGTGCAGCTTTACTTCTCAGGAGTCCCGGTCTGCAGTTCAGAGCACCCCTGGATGTAACTGAACGAGGCTTTCCGATCGTGTTCCTCTTCCCTGGGGCCCGTTCCTGGGCCATCCCGTGTGGGCCTCACTCTGTGGGGCTGGCTGGACTCAGGCCTGCAGCTCCAGGACTGCAGAGAGCCTGGACGGGCCACAGGGGATTTCGCCATCCATTTGAATCACCTTGCTGATCTACTTACGGCTTCCCTTTGTCTTTTCCAAACAAATGAGGAGAACACTTGAACAGTTATGCTGGAGAATGTTGTTTTTTTTCTATGATACTATTTGTAAGCAAATCTGATTGTAAGATGAAATGTGAATGGGTAATTAGGTGCCAGGGAATTTAGCACTGAACTAGACAGTCAGAACTTTTTTAACCTTTGCAGAAGAAATAAATTTTGCTCGCATCTACATGTTCACAAGAAGTAATGTTGTAAATAGTTTTTTAAGAAATATTTATTATATGTGCTGGATACAGGTTCACGTCCTGAGTGACGCTGGTTTGCGCTGTAGTGTTGTAGGGGAATGCGGTTTGAGCAGTGGACTTCCTCTCACATCCCAGCTCACACACGGAGAGAGAACGGAAACCAGTGGGTTGAGAGCTGTCTGGGGCATCTGATCTGTAACGTTACATCAAATCCAAGCTTTAATTGCCCCCTCTTCTCATCTGGTTATGTTATTATATATATAGTGTGTGTGTGTGTGTGTGCGCGTGTGTGCGTGTGTGATGACCTGGTCAGTGGTCAGTCCCAGATCTGCAGAGCAGATTTCCAGGTGTTCTTTCTGATGTGTTGCCTACAAGCAATAAGATCCTAGGTAATAACATTTATTCCGGGTTCCGCATGGGCCCTTATCTCAGAGGATAGGGTGGGGGGTAGAACAGCTCTTGCTAAGACCTCTTGCCTTTGCCCGAGAGGTTGCTGTACTTGAATTTTCTCTTCTGTTTGTCTGCACGCTCCTTCCAGTCATAGAACTCTAGCAATGGATGAGAAATCTGCCAGCACCAGACACATCAAAAATGGGGCATAGAGATTGAGATTGAATAATTACCATTTTCCATGAATTTGTAAGGGCTTCCAGCATCCAGTTGAGGCACAGCTCATTTGGCTATAGAGTGAATGTAAGCACTGTTTACATTAGAAATTTAGATGGCCAATTGGAAGTCCCTTGACTCTTTCTGACCTACCCTGCAAAGCTAGCCCATTTCCTGGAGTCCTCCTCTGTGCCTGGGTTTGAAGTGTCGGAAGCCCCCTCCGTGTCTGGGCTTGACCCTCATGGTGAGTACAGACAGGGCAGTGGCCCCTCCAAGCCTCCCAGCGTGTCCAGTCCAACAGGTGTCTAAGCTGTTTCGCAGCCTCTCCTTGTGACCATAATACACTTTATGAGAAATACCCCACACCCAAATAACCATGAATAGAATAATGTAGTTTTTTAGGCTTTGGGAATATGTCTTCTCTTTTGTATTTATGATGGTGTTTGGACTTTTTCACTAGCGTTATTTTTAGATTGAAATGGGTGCATTAGGATAAAACTTTCCATTGCTGGGCCTGAAAGCAAGCAAGAGGAAAGAAACTGACCTATGTTGTCATTGAGAAGGTGACTACTTGTGGTGGGAGGGCGGGGAGGGGACAGTGTAGATTACGTGGGAGTAAAATAGAACTCCGGCCTGAGGCACCCCAAGTCTTATTACTTTGTAAGAAATGATCCCCTTATTAGCCTCCCTTAATCTCAACAGAAGCCTGCTGTCTACCCTCAGGGAACAAGTAGTTTTCAAAATTGAGCTCCTCCAAGGTCATTGGCTGGTGCCTGTGTGCAGGCATTGGTCGTCTTTGTGAACTCATGGCATTATTTTCCCATATGCATTACAATATTAAGAAATTCACCCCCAACTCGTATGATAAGCACAGCCCAGGGTCCTACTTTAGGCCAGAGTTCATGCCTGTGAGGGCCCCGGGGGTCATAGGAGGCCCATGCAATGTAACTGAAGCTCAGGTGCCGTGTCGGTGTTTAATTCTTTTTGGGACCTGTCAGATGGGTTTAGGGCGGGGGCTGCAGACCCAGCTGTGGACCCAGGGAGCTCCAAGATGAATCTCTACCGTTCCTGTAAAGGTCTTTCTGGTTCCTCCCAGTGTTGTCATTGCCGAGGTCAATCTCGTAGTTGTTCAGATGTGCTCCTTTTTGCTGTCTTGTGAGTCTTAGCCAGTGGTCCAGGTGCCCAAGGAGAGTCTCCAGAGGGCCTGCTGCCCCTTCCCAGCACCGAGTGTGTCCTCCTGACCTGTGCTCACGTGGTCTTTCCAAAAACAGTGAAGTGAGAAATTCTGCAAATGGTTGTCAGATAAAGGCATGTATCTCTTGGGCCTGGATTTCCACTGTGTTAGAGAGTGTAGGAAAATACTGTGTTGTTAATGGATGAAAATTCAATGTATGCTGTGAATTTGTTGGTTTGAAACATTGAAAATTTTTCATTAGACAATGTTTACATACCTCACCTGAAGAACCTTTGAGAGTGTATATATGAAATTTTAAAATATATTAAGTTGCTTTAAAACAATATGTATAGCTATAAAAGTTGAAGTTATTTTAACTTTGAATATGTACCAAGTCTCCTAAATATTGAAATCTTGTGGATTTTGTTGTGCTTCTGTGTTTTACTTTCCTATTAGGCCAAGTAGGAAACTACATCTTTGTTGGTGGTGGAGGGGCCCTCCCCGAAATCCAAGCTTGGAGGGATTTCCTTTGCTGTTTCGGGTTTTTCTGGTTTGGTTTTGAGGGATGGGGTGTGGAGCTAGCGATGTGTGGAAGGGGTCTGTCCCGTGAGCTTTTTCTAGGCGCTTATTTTACTGCAGCATATTAAACTTCTTTGATATTAAAGCGTGTGTGTGTGGTCACTGGAAGGATATCCACTGCACCAGAGCCCAGCATCCAGCTCCCAGTCTACGGCCAAGTTGCCAAGTTGCCAACAGGAACCAAAAAGCAACACTTCTGACACCCCTGCCTCACCCCAGGCCCCACCGCCCACTGATGGGGCTTAAAAGAACAAGGTTGGCTGGACCTAGGGCCATTCTGTGAGTGGTGCTTGACTCCAAGGTAAAGAAACACAGAGGGGGGACCCTTGGGAATTCCCATGGCAGAGCTGGAAAGGTGCCAGTGCTTCATCCAGAGGGGCAGCGAGCAGGGGCCTTCCTCTGGCTTCTGACCACAGGTAAGCGGCTCTGAAATAAAGGGGCGATGCACCTGGCCGCCAGGGAGGGCTGCCCTAGCTTTCCGTGGCCCATTCTGGGGTATGGCTGAAGGGGGCAGGAAATCTTTCCATTCACTTGCCTCATTACATGTTTCATTATATATTTTTTAAGATTTTATTTATTTATTTTTAGAGGGAGGGGAAAGGAGGGAGAAAGAGAGGGCGAGAAACATCGGGGTGTGAGAGATACATTGATGGGTTGCCTCTCACATGCCCCCAGCTGGGGATCTGGCCCGAAACCCAGGCATGTGCCCTGACTGGGAATCGAACCACCAACCTTTCAGATTGCAGGCTGGCACTCAATTCACTGAGCCATACCAGCCAGGGCTATTTCATTATATTTTTAATTTTTTTTAAAATTTATTTCTAGAGAGAGGGGATGGGAGGGAGAAAGAGGGGCAGAAATATCGATGTGAGGGAGAAACATTGGTCAGTTGCCTCTTGTATGTGTCCTGACTGGAACTGAACCCATAACCCAGGCCTTTGCCCTAGAATCGAACCAGCGATCTCTTGTTTTGTGGGGTGATGCCCACCCCACTGAGCCACACCAGTCAGGGCTGTTTCATTAAATATTTTCAAGCCTCTTTAAAGTGGGTCTGTTTAAGGGTCCAGTGGGCCAGGGGGCTCCTCCCTGTGGAATCAACCGAGACTTCACTAGCAACTTTATCCGACAGTGGCCATTGTCATGCACAACTGAACCCAGTGAAAGTGGCCCCGCAGCTGGTGGCTCACCCCCCCCACCCCACCCCCACCCCCGTTCCCAAATCTGGAGAGTTTTCTTGTTCCAGATGAGGACTTTCTACTGTTCAAATAAACCTCTTTTCCTCCAACATTCATCCTGTGGTAGGATAACTAGAATAGGAACCAAGAGGTGCAGCCTGGCGGCTCTGAGGGCTCGGGGTGTGGGAATGACAGCCGCGTAATCAGCGCGCCAGGAAGACTCGGCCGCCCCGCCCCGCGCATGGGGGCGTCCTTGTGACCGTGGGACTTGGCACTTGCTTTAACTCCGCGGTTTCACACAGGTGGCTCACAGGTGCATTTTGGTTTTAGCCCGTTTATGGTTTTTTTTTTAAGATTATAAAACTATGAGTATTGACATACAAGTTGATTTCTGGCTTCTCTTTTCAAAAACGATCACGAAGATCTGCCAGAATCGGTGTGCGGTAAGAAGAATCAGCTGGCGCCCGGTCGGGCAACGGGCCCCTCGGGTCACCACTGTCTCCGTCGGTTACCACTGGTCCCTCTTCCACGGCAGGGAAGTAGGCCTCCGTCCCTGCTGCTCTGTCAGAAATGGCAGTACACGTGATGGCCCGGGAGGGCGTGTGCCCCCTGACCGACTGGGGTGACCTCCGGGCACTCCGGACGCTTGGGCCGATAGCCCTGTTTGAACCGTGTTCCCTCAGGCGTCTGATTCGTCACACTTCCTCCCAAACCCCGGACTGCCTCACCGCCCCGTCGTCACCATCACTGCCCCCTGTCAAGGTGACTGTGTTCAGGGGCGCCTTGTGTGACCATCGCCACAGGTGGTCTTCTGGTGAGAAGTCAGTCTACGTCCTGGGGCCCGGGGAGGGCCGGCCGGGGCCCCCCAGCGTCAGGGGCCTCACTGCGATGTCATCTTACAAAACTCCCGCATGCAATTTTGTGTTTAGTTTGGAAATCGAGCAGAACCACCGAAACAGCGTGCTTGCCTCCTTCCTCCACCGACCCCTAAGAACCGCTGTCCGGGCAGCAAGCAGGCTAACCTTACAAGGCGGTCTGAGAGGCCGCACAGCTCGCTACTCGGTTGCCCTGACGCCCCGAAACCCTCGGGTGAAAGAAGGCTGTGGCTCTGTACACAAACGTACAAAATGTGGGCGTGGCAGCGGGCCGGGGAAGGGAAAGGAGGGGATCTCCACGCGCCACCCCCAGCGGGGCCAGGCTCCGCCCTCACACTGGCATCCCTGGGAGCGACGGCCGCCCGCCCCCGGACTTGCCCTTCCTGCTGCAGGAGCGGCGGCCCTCCCGTGCCGCTTCAGGAGGACCAGAGCGCGCCGAGGGCAGCCGTCCGACATGTGCAGCATGTGGGAGCCACCGTGGACCGGCTGGTGTGGGGGCAGCCCAGAAGCCTTCGGTCCTGTCCGGGGCCTGCCAGCAGCCCCGCTCACCCTCGGTGCAGACAAAGAGATCAGCAAGGCAGAGCCTGAGTGGATCAATGTCATGTTCACGTGGAAGACAACAGACAATATTCAACATGTTCTAAAACAACACGTCTAGCAAAGGGCAGGTGTGGCTCCCTCCTGGGCCTGTTCTAAACCAGTCTCTGTAAAAGAGTGACCCAAACAAGGCTACAGAAACCCCCAAACAGAATGTCACAGCTACGGAGCATCTGCAAATCAAACGAGACACTGGGTGTTGACTTTAACATATAAAAATACTATAACAAAATGAAATACAAATATATATTAGAATCTGTTAAGTATTCTGTATAAAGAGATACTTTCGTGGTTAGGCTAACAGCAGGCGGGGAGGAGACGAGTCCATCTGGCATGTTCCACCTCCAGACCCCTCCGCGGGGGGCCCGGGCCGCTGTCCTCCGCGGAGCCGCCAGAGCAGCAGCGTCCTTGGGACTCGCCTGCTTTAGTCTCTTCAGTGTGTGTTGAATGGAAACAGCCCATGGCGACGTCAAAGGGAACTAAAGGTCTTCACCAAGGGGATGGCAAGGTGTGGAGATGACTTCTCAGACAGATGACATCATGGTAGCCTTCCGGGACTCAGAGGGCCCCAGTGTGAATGGCCAGATGAGTGGGATCCGGGCCCTTAACTTGCAGGTGGGTGGCTAACTTGAGGAAAACTTGGTCCTAGGGCGCAAGGCTCTCTCAGCCCCTTGCTGCCCTCACCCTCATGCTGGCTCCCGATCTTGCGGCTCCACCAGGGGTGAGTGTGGCACTGGGCTGGGGCACGGGGCATTATGGAGGGGCCAGCAGGGCCAGCAGCGAGCCCACGGGGTGCCCCCCCCCCCGCCTGCCCTCCCCAGCCTGTCGCACTGGGGCTGCATGGATCCTGGCAGCCATCACCTGTCTGCAGGTGTCCTGCTTTCTGCAAAGAAGCCCCTGCCTGCCAGGGTCCCCTCGAGCCCAGGAAACTGCTTCTCCAAGGCAGCAGGAGGTGGCGGTGGCCAGGGGAGGGTACATTCCTCAGGATTGGTGGATTCAAGAACACCCCTGTTCCAAGGGACAAACTAGCTGCACTTCAGCTTTCCTGCCTGTGCAGCCTGGTACTGGCTGTTCTCCGAGTCCCTCAGGGGCTCAGGAACTCTAGGTAAGAGGGATGCTCTGCAGTGAGGCCCACACTGCTGGCCACAGGGGGCAGGGGCACTGTGGCCTTGCTCAGGGCTACAAGGAAATAGAGCCCAGTGCCTGGTGAGGGACAGATCCTCCCCAACTGGGCAGGACAGGGTCCTCTTTCCATTACAGGGGTCCCAGGACTCACACCCTCCGGCCTGAGACCAAGGTCATGGAACATGCCAGGCACCCACAGTCACACTGCCCTCTACTACTCAGCAGCAAGGCCCTCACCACCACCGCCGCCACCGCTGCCACGGTGGCTGAAGACACAAGCACACACCACCCCAACCCCACCCGTTCACTCCCCCTACCCTGCCTTATGGCTGCAGGTGGAAGGAGCCTGGAAAAGGTGGGCTCACCACCCTGGCCCGCCAGCACTCCCCAGGAATACACTGGGGAGACACCTGAGACAGGAGGGTGTGACCTGTCTTCCAGCCAACTCGCTATTTAGGCTCAAAGGTAATTTTTCTACATTTTCATTCTGCACGGGATTGAAGTATCTGTAGTCACTGTCTGGTATTCAGTGACGCTTCAAACACCAAGTCCTTCCTTGCAAACAGCCTGTGGGGCGCCGCTCCAGCCGAGGCCGTGGCTGTGCCTGTGGTTGGAGCCCTCGTCTGGCCCGGCTCTCTTCCCAGGGCACCCTGGTCACCCTGTGATGCACTGTGATTGGTTGGCATGTGTCCACGAGGGCAGAACACCCACAGTACCCAGCCCCGGTCAGGCACATGAATACTCGTTGATGTGATTAATGAAGATGGATTTCTAACTCCTGCGGCCGCCCTCCTGGGACCACAGTGGGAGGGTCTCCATTGCTCTAGTTGTCCCGCCTCCCCGTGTGCGAGCTGAGGAGACTGAGGTCCACAGGGAAGAACTCTGCAGAGCAACAGAGCCCGCGGAGGTTTCCTGATGCCCGGACCACAGTTCCCTGCTGGTCTGCAGCATGAGGGGCTCTGAACCCCATCTCCTTGGGGGCAGGCCCCGCGTGGCCGAGCTGCCTGGCCCAAGCCCCCTACACCCTGTCCCAGTGCCGTCAGCTCAGCAGCAGCAGGCTGATGGCTGGGGAAGCTCAGGAGCAATGCCCCTTTGCTGGCTAGTGTCTGGAAGTGGTGATGTTGATACTGCTGAAACCAAGAACCCCCTGTCCTTTCTGGCGGAGTGGGTCCTCCGTTCTAAGAAGTCCCAGTAACCCTTTCCTCCATGTGAGTCCCCTCCTTGTAGCTACAGTGGTCATCTCAGAACTTCAGGGTTCAGAGGTTTGGTCCTAAGACCCACCTCCACCTCCAGCCTCGGTCCTGAGGGTGCTCTGCCTGCCAATCAGTCCAGGGGTAAGGGTCAGTCCCTCTCTGGCCAGCAGGAGGGGCCCTTCCCCTCCACACCCTGGCCTGCTGCCCGCAGAATCTGTGTAGCAGAAGGCGCAGAGCCAGGGTGGGAGGCTGAGAGTCCTTCGAGGTTATCTGCAGGGGTTAAGGGATTCTGGGGCCAGTGTGGGCCGCACACTCAAGGGAAAGGCTGGTTTGGGGAGAAGCCAGTCCCTTCCTCAGACCCAGGTAGCAGACAAGGAGGGAGCGTCACTGTTCTGCACTTCTTGGCCTGACCGCATGCACACGTTCATTTAACAAAAATCTATTGAGCGCCTATCTGTGCAAGGCACTTCTGGAGAGGGCGGTCTGCAGCCGCGCCTCGCCCACCCACTCAGCCCCCGGCTGCTTGAGGTCGGCTGGAGAAAAGCTGCCTGGCCCCTGAGAAGTGGGCCCCAGCCCACCCAGGAGGGTCCAGCCACCCAGGAGCCACCTTGGTCATGGCCTGGGTCTCCTGGTGGCCATGCTTCTTGCCGGCCCTCCCCCTCCCCGTCGGCACTGGACGCTATGCACAGAGGGCACAGCCACACTTGGTGGGCTTCTCCACCTCCTCAGCAAAGGAGGTCCCATCGCTGCACTCAAAGGTGAACTTCCTCCGCTTCGGCCGCAGGCCCCGGCAGCAGCCCAGGCCCGGGCACGAGCCCCGGCACTCCACCCACGACAGCGGGCGCGTGGTCTGGCAGATGGCATAGCCCCTCTGGACCTGGTGAAAGTCCCGGACAGGGTCCCCCCGGCACTCGGACCCTGGATGGGACAGACACCAAGAGAAAGCCTCAGGGCACAACTGTGGGCGGGTGCTGCCCACTGGGGGGCGGCAGGAGGAGGAGAGAGGAGAAGGGGAGGGGGGCAACCCCGGAGGTCCTCTAGCTCTCAGAGCCCACCTCGTCCCCAGCATCCTCCCTGCCCAGGTGCGCATGCATGGCCTCCCCCCGGGCCCACAGTGTGGTCAGTGGGGAGGAAGCACTTCCTAGCTGCCAGGGCCCCCAGCACAGACTGGGCTGCCAGGCCCAGGCAGGCTCCCATTGCCCGGGGAGTGAGTGCAAGAAGGCCGCAGGCCTGGCAGGCAACAGTGTTAGAGAAGGAGATTGTGCTGGGAGGGTGCGGCCTAGGGGACCCTAAGGTGCCTGAGTTCTGGATTTCTCCAGACTCCCCCCTCCCGCTCCCCGCAGCACTCTCCATTCCAGCAGAAGCATCTCGGTCCCACAGACCAGGGAGGGTGTCTCCAACCCTTAGACTTCCTGCCGTTCCCAGTCCCAAGGTGATGGGGCCAACATGCAGAGGTGTGGGCAGGAGCTGTTACCCCGATAAAATCTCTTCTGGAAGGAGAGACTGCAGCCCAAATGGGCACTTACCCCAGATAAGGGGGCTGCAGGAAAAGCTGGGCCAGGGAGAGATGGGACCCTGTCTGGGGTGAGACTCGGAGCCCAAAGGGTGGGGGGCAGTAAAGCCCAATAGCAGCCTAAGGTGCAGAGCAGGGAAGGGGCACAGGGGGGTTGCTGAGGTTGGGAGGAAGAAAAGATCAAGTTGCTAAAGCCAGTGGTGGGGAGGGACCCTGGAGAGGGCACATCAGGAGGGGGGCCCCTGACCTTGCTCACAAAGCTCGCCCGAAAAGCCAGGGTCACACACGCAGTGTGCCCCCTTGGTGGCCAAGGCCTGGCAGTGGCCGTGCAGGCACCGCAAGCCCCCACACGGGTCTGCGGGCGCCCTGGCCTGGTTGCACAGGGCCCCCGAGTACCCGTCCTGGCACTGGCAGCTGTAGGAAAGAGCATCCAGGGGCACGCACTTCCCGTGGACACACCTGGAGGGGACAGAGGAAAAACGCCGTGAGGACAGGCCAGAGCCAATCCAAGGCCCACCCGGGACACCCACACCTCCGTCCTTGGCATCATGGGCGGTGATCCTGTTTGCAAGATTGAAACACAGAGCAAAGGGTGTCCGTGTCTGTCCCTAGGGACTTCCCTGACAATGGAAATTGAAGACCCGAATAAAAAAAATCCTGTGTTAGACCACGTGTTCCGATTTGGGGATTTAAAAATGCTATCTTTCCTCACCACAGGGAACGGGAACCTCCAAGGAAGGGGTAGGAACCCGCAGGGAGGCAGGGGTCGGCGGCTCACTTGTGGCCGTGACAGGGGCCGTCAGCCGGCTGGTCGCAGTGCAGGCCCCCCCAGCCGGCCTCGCAGTGGCACACAGGCCCTGGGCTGGCGTCGGGCTGGCAGATGCCGTGCAGGCAGTAGAGCTTCCGGCAGGGCTCGCAGCCGGGCACCACGCCCGGCTTCATCCGCGTCTTGGTGAAGTCCTGCAGCTCGTTGTTGATGTACAGGTTTCGGATGCACCCGTGGAAGCTGCTGCCATTGAGTATCTGCCACAGGCGGAAGGCGGCTGAGTTCACGTCCACCGGCATCCCTGGGGCGGCCAGGAGGGGGCAGAGCTGAGCGGAGTTAGGCTTGGATGGAGCCCGGCACCTACCTCTGAGGTCTGCCGGGCATCTCCACAGAGTTCCCTCTTGCCTTTGGCCCCTGCCCTGTCTCTGCCACCCTGGGCCAAGGTCCCTGCCACCTTGGAGGGTCCAGGCTCCTTCCCCAGAAGAAATGGAAAAGCTGCTTTCCCTGTGATCAGAGCCCGGGGTGCCAGGCCTGACAGCAGCCAGCTGACAAGTGAGACTCTGGGTGCCCAAGTCTAGGTCCCCTCGCCCAGGGCTCCTTCCTTCCCTCCCCCTGGAACCTCTTGTTTTTACCTCCCACAGACCCCAGGAGCAGCAGAGGACTGGGGCTTAGAACTCAGGAGTATGGTACTTTGTGACCTGCTTTTGGGGTCCCCACTTTGCAGCAACCCTCCGAGGTAGGAGTTGCTAAACTGCATCGGATGCTCAGTGCTCAGTGACTGCCCAAAGCAGAGCTGGGGTGAAAGCCCAGGTTCTCCACCCTCACACCCGCCCAACACCTAGGCCGGGCCCTCCACAGCATGGAGATGGCCTGGCTGCATCCGGGAACCTGCTCGTCTGGACCTGGAAATGCCCACAGGTCATGGACAGGGCCATTTAGCCACAACACCTGTAAGGCCAGCTGGGCAGTCCCCAGCTAATGTAGGGTCTCAGTGCCCGGGCATCCTGCAGCAGCTCCGGGACTCTGGGGACCCCAAGACTGGGAATGGACCCTGAAGAATTGGCAAGCCCCTTCCAGCCCAAAGCCAAGAGGAAAGATGCCCACCGTGCAGAAGACAATGGGGAAAATCCCAGCTAGCTAGCCACTCACCTCACCTCCCAGGCCAGGCCTCAGTGCCAGCTCAGGCACTTAACCCTGTAAGTCTGGGCTCAGTGGACAGCAGCCTGGCCGCTGGCAGGCGAGAACAACCCACCAGCAGCTTGGCCATTCACTGGGACCCGCCCCTACCACCCGGAATGACCCCCACCCCAAGTCCAGAGCCCCAGGCACCAGCTCTCAGGCAGGAGAGCATCACCCAACGGAGAGGCCCGGGGTGGAGTAGGTCCTTACCTCCCACGTAAAGCGGGGCCTCACTGTTCAGTGTGTAGTGTTTGCCGAAGTTGTCCATGGTCATGGGACTCCCGCCATCAATGGAGAGATTCACCATCTGGTCAAAGGTGACCAACTCAACAGTGTGGAACTGCCCGTCATTGATCGTCTCGGCACTGGAAGAAGATGGGGTGCCCCACCCCAGACAATGAGCTTCAGTGGGCCCATCCCCACCTGGACACTTCCCCAGAAAGGCCGCTGGTCCAGCAGCTGCTTCCCAGGGGACCCCATCTCTCAGGGAAGAGACTGTGGCCACTCGGTGCCCTGTGGCTGACTCTCCTGCTCCCCTGGGGAAAGCCGAGAAGTCTGGGCCAGGGATTTCCAGCCCCACCCACGTCCCCTCCCCACTCAGGAGCCCCTGCGAAGTGGTGGAGGGATGCGGAAGGATGAGACCGCTGCCCAGGACTCAGCCTCAGACCCAAGTTGGGCTGTGCTCGATGGTTCAAATGCCCCTTCCACTTGGGCAGCCCAGGTGCCGGTGGTCCCAATAATGAGCTGCTTTGGGCCCAGGAGACCCCCGAGAGAGACTGGTGGGCGTGAGGAAGCCCTACCTGTAGATGGCAGAGCTGGGGTAGCTGCCAGGGTCGTAGCTGACACGGACATGGCCCTGATACAGCTCCACTGCGATGTGGTCATTGTCCCCGTTGTACAGCAGGATCCCGTTGTCCTCTGCCGTGGAGACCTGCTGGGCAATGGCACTGTCCCTGCAACCCCATCCCCCGCAGCAGCAGCAGCAGCGCAGGCTGGCGGGGGGAGCAGAGGGGCGACCCACGATTGGAGGAGGGGCTGCAAGCACTCTTGGTTAAAGATGTGTAAGCTCAGAGGTAACCCTGGCTGAGCGCCAGCCACGTGTAAGAAACCTACTTGTAGCATTGGAGGCTGAAGCTAAGGAGTGGTTGGGACAAGAGACGGCAGGAGAGGACCCTGCTAAGTGTGGTTTTCTGGATCCAGTCACCCAACAGACCACCTCCCCCCGCTCTTCTGGGAGATTGGTTTTGTGACTCGATAGCCTTTCCAGTTGTGCTTAAACTGGTTCAGGCTGAGAGGCTGACACCCACCCCAAAGGCTTTTGACCAACACGGCTCCTCCCCACTGTCCCGGGCAGGGAGGAGTCTTGATGCTCTGACCTGAGGCCAGGGTCCCCCACTGTCTGACTCCCCTCTGCGACCGGCACCCTGGGCACACACCTGGAGTGTGATGTTGGCCCGAGGCCAGTTCTGCAGGTCAGTGAACTGCAGGTAAGTGTCCCGATCCACGAAGTTGACACTGAGCAGCTTCTCACACTCGGGGCCGCCAAAGCCCGGGAGGCACTGGCACACAGCACGGCTGCCCTGGTCCACGCAGCTGGCCCCATTCTGGCACTCCATCCCCTCGCAGGGGCCCCTGGGGGCAGGTGGCCGGGGAGGCACCTCACAGAGCTTCCCACTGAGAGGGGAAGGATGCAGGTCAGACAGGGCAGGGCACAGGGGCAGGGGGTCACCTTCCTTCCCCCCCACCCCGGATCCTGGAGGGAAACTCACTAAACATTTTGGGAAACTGGATCCTTAAGGCGACAGAAGAGGCTCCTAACGAACATGTTTCCCCGAGAAAACTAAGAGCCAGAGGGTGGTGAGAAACAAGGACGGTCCCTGGACCAGCAGCACCGATGCCCCCCGGGCACTGGGCAGAAATGGAAAACCTGCTCAACCTGCTTTAGCAACAGGCCAGGTGGTCATGTGCACCTTAGAGTTCACAGGTCACTCACTGTTCTCGCCTCACGTCACAGAAAAGAAAAGTGAGACTTAAAACACAAGCAAAAGAAGGGAAAGACTCAAATTACTGAAGTGAAGAAATAAAGGGGGGCCATCGCCACCAGCAGGTAGCTCGGATCCCGGCTACAACCATCTGTAGCGTCTGGGCCCACAACAGCCAGAACGTGGGAACGATCCAGATGCCCATCAGTAGATGAAGGGATGACCCAGTGCAGTGTCTTCGTGCGAGGGGCTGTCACTCAGCCATAAGAAGGAATGAAGCTGATGCCTGCTAGCACGTGGTGACATGATGGTGACATGGCGACACACACATGATGCTAAGTGGAAGCCGGTCACAAAGGACCACAAACTGCACACTTCCGTTTACACGAAACATCCAGAATACGCAGATCTACACACCCAGGTGCTGGTAGATCAGTGGTTGCTCAGCACCGGGATGGAGGGGGTTGGGGTGACAGATGGGAGGTGCTGAGGTTCTCTCCGGAGTAAAGAAGATGTTCGGAAACTGTGGTAGTGAAGGCATAGCTCTGGGACTACACCAAAAGCCATTGAATTGTACATTTCAGCCAGGTAAATTGTATGGCATGTGAATTATATCTCATTAAAACTGTTAAAAAAAAAAAAAAAAGAGCACCCAAGCAGATCTTGGGAATGGGCAGCCGGAGGAGGGCAGGCGCCTTCCCCTCCCAGCCTCCCAGAGGAGCCAAGACCTAAAGGTCAACGACCTTCAGGGCAGGGTGAGTCCTCAGAGGTTTCAAGAGCGTCTGCGATGGGGCTCCGCCCACTAATCCCTACTCACCTCCCACTCCCTCCACCGAAGAGGTTGGGGCCTCCGCCTGCATTCTGGGTGCTTCAGTGACTTTCCCAGGGCCACACAGCTGTGCAGACACAGCCAGGCTTCAACTCCAGGACCCCACAGCCAGGCCTCACCCTTACTCTCCACCCCAACCACGTCTGGGGGCCAGGAGGAGTCAGCCCCCTGTGGCGTGCCCCGGGTCCTCACCTGTAGCCCTCCGCACAGAGGCAGGAGTGGCCGTTCACTTCGTCGACACACTGGGCCCCGTTCTGGCAGCGGTGAGCCCCGCAGTCATCCAGGTTCTCACTGCAGTTGTCGCCTGCGTAGCCTGGTGGGCACTCACACCTGGAGGCGGGCAAGGGGGCAGGCAGTCAGCCAGCGGCCTGCGGGTTCTCTGTGTATCAGAGCTATAAACAGAGCCCTGGATATAAAGATGCCCCTGCCTGTCCTGGGACCCTGTTATAGGGCAGAAGAGAGCGTGTGTGGGTTGGGGGCTCTGGGTTGGGAGGGTGAACGCCTAGAGGCAGCAGGAGATGGGGGACCCAGACCACCACTGAGCACCCGCAGGGCCAGACTGCTGCCCCTTCCGGGCCTGCCCAGCTGCTGTCCAGCATGAGGCCCTGATTCATGGGGCTCCCCCAGCCCCCCTTCCCTAGCCTCCTGGCTGCGGCAGGGCTAGTGCCCAGCCCTCCGCCAGTGCCGGACTCCAGGCCAGCCTCCACCTTCCCTGCCCACACTGAGCCTCACTGCTCAGCCGAAAACCCATTTCAGCCTACCGATAGAGGGCGCACTCCACCACCTCCACTCAGGCATACTGTGTTTGCGAAACTGCAGGTGGGAGCGATGTCTTAAAAACCCATGACCTTCACCTCACATGCAGTCTTCAGGTGACAGAGCTCCCCATATGTGCCAGTAACAGCAATGGTGACTATAGTCAAGGACCCCTTTTCCAAAACTCCTGAGGCCAGGTAGATTGTGGAATTGAGAATTTTCAGATCTTGGAAAGGTAGTGAGTGCTTACAACAGTATATTATGTACCAGGCCGGGGGTCTAGGGCAGTCCCTCAGCCCCACATGTCCACAGTTCTGTGGTGAAATCAGCATCCACTCCCACCACGCGGATGGAGGGGGACTGTAAGTAGCCCCGTGCCATGTGACAGTCAGCCTATCTTACCAAATGCATTCAGGCCAGACCCAACTCTGCTATCAAACTAACTTGGTTTGCAGAGTTTCGTGGATTTTGTAACTGGGGTGAGGATTTGTGAATCTGGAATGATAAGAGCTATTTACGGAGCATTTATCAGATGTCAGATGCAGAGCTAAGTGCTTCCCACGCATCTGCGCATCCAATCCTCACAGCCACCCCAGGAGGAAGCTTCTGGTGCGTCCAGTTTGCAGATGAGAAAGCTGAGGCTCAGAGCGGTGCAGCCATCCATTCAGGGTCGTGCTGGCAGCAAAGCTGTCCCCATAATCACACCCCACACTGACTCACGGGGCCCCCGCGTGGCTGAGACCGAGCCTGCTTGACAGGCGAGGTGACGGGGAGGCACCTTGGCAACCCTTGCCCTTCCCTGGCCCTGGAGACGGGCAACACTGACCTGGGCCCATCCGGGGTGCCCACGCACTGGGCCTTGTGCTGACACGGGTTCAGATCCGGGGAACAGAAGTCTACTAGCTGCTCACAGGCCCTTCCTGGGGAAAGAAGGAGGGAGAGACGGGAGAGAGGCTGCCCCTGTGCTCTGCCAGGCAGGCGGCCCCGCCGAAACCTCCCACAGACGCTGAGGCAGGGCCCCCACCCTGCTGCCCGTGGGAATGGGGCTCGGGCCATGCATGCTGGCCCTCAGCTCCCCACAGACACGCACACCCCACGTACCCGAGTACTGCAGAGGGCACCGGCACGTGTAGTTGCCCACGCCGTCCACACAGATGCCCCCATTGGCACACGTGTGCTCCACACAGTCGTCGGTGTTCACCCCGCAGGTCAGTCCTTCAAAGCCAGCCGGACAGGAGCACCTGTGGGGCCGGGGAGGAGGGAGAGGCACGTAGACCCATGGCCGGAGTGGCAGCCTGGGGCCACTGGTCAGTATCATCATCCCAGAGTTTTGGTCCGTACTCCAGGCCGGGCCCTCACTGCATGCTGGGCGTTAGAGGCGGACGGACCAGCCCTGCACTTGCGGGACTCACAGTCCAGGGGCGGGGTGATGAGGGGACAGACAACCAGGGAGAGGCGGAGGGTATCGGGACAGTGTGGCACTGAGGCTAGGGGATGGGGATGAAGGGGCAGAGGACACCTAGCTCTTCCTTGCGGGGAGCAGTCAGGGCAGGCTTCTCAGAGGAGACAATGAGTTAGTCAGTGAGGGACCCTGACAGGGGAGTGCAGGAATGGAAGGGAAGGCAGTGGGGCCAGAGGCATGGGTTCAGCCCAGCGAAGACCCTACGTTCAGTCCTCCGGGGGAGGTCCTGCTCGTACAAACAGTCCAGGTCTGCGGGAGCACAGGCCCCAGGGACGCGGCAGAATGGGGCTGGAGCAGGCCGTGGGGAGCCCCGGAAATCAGTGGCCTTCCAACCAGGTACACTTTTCCCTGGGGCACCTGGGGTTTTGGGGGGCATGTGGGTCAGAGAGGTCTGAGAAGGTAATTTCCAGATCTTCCAGTTCCACAGGGACCCTTCCCTGGGCTGACCTGCCCCCGCCCCCCACGGAGGCACACGCAGCTGCCCGGCCGGGGCCTGCGACCCCCGGGCTCCGCATAGAGGGACAACTAGGAATATCGATGTTTCGAAAGCGAGTGAACGAGTGGCTTTTGCAAGTCCCGAGGCTTCCCGTTCCGTGTGTGAAACGTAGCTGAAGGAAGACCTCATGGACCTGTCCGCTGATAGAGCCCTAAAAATAACTTCTGATGACAGAGGGCTCTAGGGGTTTGGCAGATAGACTCCGAGGGACTCTGCAGGCTTGACTGACACGGCTATGGTAAAACTGCTTCTGTGCTCCCTGTCTGTGTTTGCGGAAAACGCGCTCAGCACTTCCAGCCATACACACGCGAGGCATGTGCGTGTGTGTGCACGCACAGGGCTCCCTCTCATTAAGACATGCGAGTAATAAAACCCCACTCCAAAGTGTAATAACTATCGATCAAATTGTGTAATACAGCCATGTTGTTTTGCCCAATTGTTTATTATTGATCATTGTAATGATAACTCAGTGCAAAAGGGACGTTAAAACAGAGGCTTATGGTCACAAGAAATAATGAAAACTTTAAGTTTACACTAATGTACCCATGCTGGTGGCGGAGAAGCATGACAGGCCGCTCCAGAAATGACTCTCTAGCGTAAAAACAGATGACATGGGAAGGAACATGGGAGGAGGCATGGAGAGTAAAATAAAAATACGCTTCTAAAAGAAAAAAGAATGAGGTAAACAGTTAAACTGCAGAAGAGCAGCTTATTTGTGTAATTTTTTTAATGGTATCAAACTGCTGTGCTATTAGAATTCCATTGGAGAACAATGAGAGTGTTAGTTTTATTTTTAAATGTGAATATTTACAATATCCTGAAAATGGCCTCCTTTGAAACAAAAAAACTAAACTTACAATGAAAAATTTTAGCAGGCACCCCAAGAATGTATGAGGACGTATGTAGTTTTAAAACTTGGTGCGGGGGTGGGGAGGTGTGAGCCAAACGGCTTGAAGACCATTGACGGGGGGCGGGGGGCGGGGGGGGGCGGGGGGGAAGCATACAATGGGCGGGTTTTAAGCAGGCTGAGGGGGTCCGCTTTGCCTGTCTAAAAAGGCCCTCGTGAGCCTCAGGGTTGAGGGGTAACTCAGGGAGGCACCCCTTTCTATCTACAGAGCCCACCCAGTGGCCTCCAATCTGTACCCCCAGCTGCACCCCTCTGAGCCTGGGGGGAGTGTCTGGGGTGTCCTCTGAACCCCTCCACTCTCCACAGGAGGCCAGGGAACTCCTGAGACCCCTCTCCAGGGACCCCTCTCAGGGGTCCAGGGAAGGAGGAGGGGGCTGGCTGTGAGGAGCTGCCGCCCAAGCCCAAAGGAGGGTGGAGCCTATGGGAAGGGCACCGTTGCCAAGGCAACAATGAGCTGAGAGACCATTTATTGTTTCTCTCTTTACACCTGGCAGTTTGGGTTCGTGGAGACAGGTGTGGCCAGCAGATGCGGAACCAGTTTGCTCGGCCAGCCATTTATCTTCAGCAGCTAAATACACAGTGTTCTTCAGAAAACCTCTGGGCCCAGGAGAGCTCTGGGAATTGGGGTGTTTGGTGAGGGGTCCTGGGGGAAGCAGGTCAGTGTAGGGGGTGCTTGCCTGTGACGTCAGCCCCGGGAGAGGCTGGGACGCCACCGGCCTGTGTGGAACCAGGAGATGACCGCAGGGGTGGTTTGGGGGGGAGGCTCCGGAGGGCGTACCCGGGACTAGCTCCCGCCTCTCCTCGGGCCTCTTGTCTCCTCCCGTCTCGGGGTCTGGGGTTGGGGGCTCAACTGGGAGGGGGTGGCTGAGGGTGCTGCCTTCGGGCAGCAGTGGTGCCACAAGCAGATGCTTGACTTCAGCTATTAGACAGCTTGGGTTCGCAGAGACCATAGGGGTTGAAAACGCCCCAAACTGCCCCTTGGCACTGCCACTGCATATGCCCTTGGCCACGGATTCTCGGTGCCACCAAAAGACCGTTCTGGCGCCTGGCAAGAGCCAAGAGAGGCCTGGAGCGGGAGCAAGGCCAGGCAGCTGGGTTCCCAGCGCCCGCCCCTGACTGCCGGCTGTGACTCCGACTGCTGTGCGGTCACTGCCTCTGGCGCGGCCGGCCTGGTGGGCCCGGGCAGTTCCCAGTGGGAATTGGCTCCCCCTGAGCCCACCCTCTATCTCCTCCCAGAGCACAGGGCCTTGGGGTGGGGGTGCTGGCCACTCCATCTGGAGGAGGGGGGCACCGAAGCTTGGGTGCTGGGCCCCATCAGCACCCCGCCCACCAGGATCCAGCCCCTGCAGGCAACTCACGTGAAGCCAGCACCCTCGCCCTCCCGGGCATGGCAGGTCCCGCCGTTTTCACAGGGGCCACTGGCACAGCTGTCCAGGGACACCTCGCAGTCTCGGCCCTGGGGAGAGAGTCAGCGGTGGGGACCCCAGGGGGACCCAGGGGCTAGGGAGAGCCAGCAGAGAAGGCCAGCCCCCGGCAGCCCGGCCTGCCTATCCCCGAGTTCACTCGTGCTTTCATCCACTCCGGCGCCAATCCAGGAGCAGGAACCGTTCCGGGGGCACCCGGGCAGAGTGGGGAGCAAGACAGACCCAGCCCTGCCTGCGGCACAGGGGGCAGCCCTCCACCGCTGCCTCAGCCTCCACTCACCTTGTAGCCACCAGGGCAGGTACACCTGTATGTTTCAAGGGGATCATTGTGGCAGCTGCCCTGGTTCCGGCACGGGCTGGACAAGCAGGGATCACACTTGGCCTGGACAGCCAGAGTGGGGGCGCCTGAGGCAAAGTGGTGGGGAGGGCAGGTGTTAGTGCAGGGAGGGTGGGGGTAAGCAGCCCCTGCCCCATGCCGTATCTCAGCCCCTGCCCCGCGGGGCTGTGAGGACTGAAAGAGCCCATCCACAAAAAGCGCTTCATGGGCCGGTGCTGGACGCTCCGTGGAGGTCGGGGCACAGCCATCAGCATGAGAGCGAGCCAGAGTCGCTTCTACTGAAGTCGGGTCCTTTCCTGGGTCTGCTCACACCCGTATGAGGCAACCACTCCCAGCCCTGTCACCTGCTGACAGGATAACAAGGGTGGCCACCTCAGGAGAGACGACACACAGCTGTGAGGAGGCCACAGTTAGAAGGAAAAGGGCCACGTGCCTTTAAGTTGTTTCTCTCAAGGTCAAAGCAGGAAGGAGCCTTTCCTGTAACCTCTCCAGCTACGTGGGTGACCCTCTCCGGCCCCTGCAGGACCCCATGGTCGCCCTGGCCTGAACTTGGAGACGGACGAGCAGCTGGCAGCCAGGCTCCCGGGCCCCCTTCTAAGAGGGGCCTCGGGACCCACACGAGTCAACGGCGAGAGCAGCAGCTGACTCAGCCTCCACTTAGACCCCCTCTGGAAGTGGGGAAGGGTCCACTCTGCTCGCCCAAAGGCGTCAGCATGAACCGGAACAGAAACTTTCCAAAATCACTGGGAGGAAGTGCAAGAGGCCTTCCCAGGAACGGGTGGAGTTCTGCCTCTGGTCTGGGTGCTGGTCCCCTGTGTGGGCCCAGTTTGTGGAGATCTGTGGCCATGCACTTCTGATCTGTGTCCTATCCTGTTACGTGTGTTCCATTTCAATAAAAAGTGTGTGTGTGGGGGGGGGGAGTTTCACTGGTACCAACACCACCCAATTAAATAAATCCTGAGCAAACATTCCAACACAAATCAGCCTGCTCCCAACAGCTGAGAGCAGAGCCCCAGATAGGGCCCTCGGCACTGTTATCCACATGACAGCATCCTGCATGCAGAGTGGCCCTTGCCTCCTCATTAACCTGTGGCTGTCAGTTTCACTTCCCATGGTGCTCTGTGAGCTTGCAGAGGGCAGAGGCCGTGGCCCACGGCCTCTGGTGTGCTCCCCCAGCCATCCCCCAGCACAAAGCCGGGCCTGGGGCAGCCGCTCAGCCGCCTCCCCCTGCTCGGCAGGGCTCCCGAGGCCTGGGCAGCAGGCAGTCAGTCAATCCCAGACCAAGCGTTTACAGATGCCCAGGGTGAGGCTTCTTCACAGCAAAGCCAGAGGAGCCTCCGGCCCCCATTTTTCCATAAATGTCAGGAGAGTGGCCCTGGGTCCAGCTGCTCAGGGATTTAAGCTAATTGCTGAGCACAGCTCCAGCCAAAGGGAGGCCGAGTGCTTGAAGCTTCCAGAAATGCTGTTGCTATTTTTACTTTCCTTACATAACCCCAGGGAGGGATTAAAGCCCTTACAGCCTGAGAATTTTCTGCCTGTTCCCCCGCCCCCCCCCTTCATTGTTATGTCAAGACTGGAAGGCAGTAATGCTAGCGAGCTGCAGGTGCCTCAGTTCTGCCACCTGACCCCCTGCCCAGGTGGCCGTCACAGGCACATCTGGAAGGTCCAGCCAGGGTGAGCAGTCCAGTAGGCCACTGGCAGCAGGAGGCGGTGATGCAACCCGGTACCCGCCACCCCTTTCTCTGCTGCTTGGCTCACCTTGGCATTCAAACTTCTTGGCAGGCGTGGTGAGGAGCAGCTTGCCCTCCATGTCTGGGGGCCCAGCGCAGCGGGCAATGCCTGGCTCCTTGTAGCCGGTCTTCACCCAGCTGGACAGCCAGCGGAGATGGCAGTCACAGTGCAGGGGATTGGCACCAATGGCCCTGGGGCAGAAAGTGGAGAGAAGTGGCATTTCAGCCTCGGGGGTTGTGGGGTACCTAGGGTGCAGGGCGCTGCATCGGGGGCTGGCAACAGCCCTGAATTCACAATCCAGTACTGCGTCACCAGCACGGTTTCGAGTCCTTCGAGTGCGTTCCCCTACTGGGTCCTTACCACACCCTTCTATCCCTATTTGACGTGTTGAAGCTGAGGATCCAAAATGTGGAGGCCCTTGCCTAAGGGTGCACAGAGAAAGGGGGAAGTGGGACTTGAACTGGTGTTGTTGAGGCCAAAGCCTATGAATGCATTGCCTCCCTGCTACACCATGAGAGAGGAACCAGCACCCGCTGCAGTGAACTGCAGCTGCTCTTCCCGATGCAGCGCCTCTGGTCAGTGTGTTGGGCCCAGGGCAGGTTTTCTTCCTTCCTCTCAGAGGCGTGGGAGCTGAGCCTCCCGCGACTAGGTCACTTCCCTGAGGTCACATGCCTGGTGAAGGGCCACCCCAGGGTCCGGACGCAGCGCTGCCGGACTCGGGAGCGCACACTTGTCAAGGAGCACACAGACGCACCCTCCCTGCGAGCCTCTGTGGAACACCACAGACCCAGCGTCTCTGCCTCACACGCCGCCGTGAAGGTGCTGAATGCCACTGAATTATACACCTTAATGCAGTCAATGTTATACCACATGAGGTTTACCTCGAGGCTTTTAAGGACACATTCCCATGTCACTGATGGAGTGCAAAATGGAATGGCACTGACGAGGGGCACTCTGTGGCATCTATGGAGTTGCCAGCGTGGCTGCCCTCTGCCCCAGCGACTCTGTTCCCGGGAGCTGGTCTTGAGGATCTACCTGCATGCGTGCCTAGCGGCACCTGTGTGAGGACACCAATCCCAGCCTCTCTGCAACGGGAACACTGGGAACTCCCAGTGTGCGTCCGTGTGGGACGTGCTTCCACAAACCACAGTGTGCCCGCATTCCAGAAAAGTCTGACCCACAGTCACTGCCAACTACAGGAGGCCCCACACTTAGGCATGGTGACCTTCTGGTCCTCTCTGTAGTGACACATATTAATCACAAATTATATCCGCCCAAGCAGCTGGCTTCTTGTCACTAAACAGCCTGGCGTACGGACCTTTACGGGTCAGTGTGTATGAGTCCGTCTCATTTTGTCAAACTGCTTCCCAGCGTCCCAAAGAAAGGGCGCCTCCCAGCGCTAATGGGGCCCCTGCCCTGTTGCCAGGCGTTCGGGTTGTTTCCAACCCTGGCCAGCACTCTCCCACATGCCTCTGGTGAAGTGATTGTTTCTCTAGAGCAGAAAGCTAGAAGTAGGGTTCGGGATGCAGAGGAAGTCCTTGTAAAAAAAAATGTTAACAGTTTCTCTCCAAAACAGGGCATATGGACTTCCACGCACCAGCAATGCAGGGCCATGTCTGCCCCCTCACATCCCCATCCCAGCACTGCCTGCGGTCAACCTCTTCGTGTTTGACCAAGCTGGTGGGCAGTGACTAAAAGATGGACAGACGTGGGGACACGTCCCCTTTGGGGGACACGAAGGGGCCAGAGTTCTTCGATTCAGCAAATAGAAAAACATCAGAGCTTCGTCCCTGAAGTTCTCCGCTATCAACGTTATTTTGAAAACGTCACGCTGTGTAAGGTCAGTGAGAACGAGCCCACTTTAGGGAATTAGCAGCCGCACACGCCCTTCTCCGGGTTTCTAGGCGGCGCCACAGAGGCAGCGGTCGCTCTCGGGCTCGGCGGGCTGCGGAGGGCTGCGGAGGGCGACGGCGGGCGACGGCGAGTCTGAGCCGGACTTCCCCGGAATAGCGCGCCTGGCCACCGCGCGCCTCAAAACACGGTTGAACGAGACCTGGGTTCCGGGCCCCCCACCACCCCCCCCCGCCGCCCCTACAGCTGCCCGCTGCCCAGGCGACCTTGAGCGGTTTGCTTCACGTCTCCGGAGCTCACTTTATGATTCGATAAAGAGCCTGCGATCTGGAGAGGGGAAAGGACAAGCGCGTACAACCTGCAGCGGGCGCCGAGGGAATAGTGCGGCTTAGAAGAGAAAGCCAGTGCAGCCTCGCGTTGCAGTTAATGGTTCTCTGTCTCGGCGTGCTGACAGCATCCGTCCTGGCTGATGGGGCAGGGGACACCCTCCTCTTTCCGCTGAGCAGAGCTAGGGCTTCTGGGGGGAGGGGGGCAGGGGAAGCTCAGACACTGAGTTTTTGAAGCTCCGGGGTGTTTTAAAAAACACTCTTTAAAATATCTGGGATACAAAAATTGTGGTATATTTAAGATGTTTACATTTACCAGATTAATATGTTTAACAAAACAAGTGCAAAGAAATGTAATTATGTTATTCATAAGATAAAAGCAGAAGTTATGTTAAAATATGTGTTGTAGTAGGCTGTGGGAGTATGGTTTGGTAATGAGCCAGAAGCTGCAAGTTCATTATGAACGGCTTCTGTCAGGCCTGTAGCTCGTTTACAGAAAGTGCCAGAAAGGCTAAACCTGAGGCCGTGGTGAACGTGGAGGCCCCTGACAAGTCTCGGGGCCGTCCCAGCTCCCAGGTCCCACGTGTATCCCCATAAATGGCACAAAGTTGCACCACAAATGTAAGCGTCCCTTTTCAGCTCTTAATAGTTAAAGAATAAAAAACAATTAAAACTACCAACATCGATATAAAGCGAATCAAAACTCTCAATTTCATGGGACAAACTCAGAGCCACACCTGACTTCAATATTTCAAGCTTTCATTTATCCGGTGGCTGGGTTCTGTGGCTCATTCAGCTGTACCGGTAGTTCATTTTCACCTGGGGACCACTTTTCCCCTGAAAAACCACTGTGGACTTAGTGGGGAGCAGAGAGCCACAGGTGCAGCTGAGACGCAGCCGTGGGGACGGCAGTGAGGCCGCTCATCAGCCCCAAAGGACTGTGGATTCAGCCCCCGACCAGCGTACGCATAACCCCATGTCGCTGTCCTTGGCATAACTTGGGAATAGTTGAAACAGTAGATACTGGGTGTGTTCACGCCAAGACCCTGCCGGGCTTCTGTTCAGGTAACTGGGACCAAATAGCTTTCCTGCGGCCGTTTCACAGAGGTGCCCACTGTGGCCTGGAGCAAACACCGAAACTTCAAGCTCTCCTTCGCCCGGGCCCATCCTCCTCCCTGTGATGCATCTGTGTGTGTCCCTGTCTCCTTCCACTGGATCGCAGCTTCGAGAGGGCACAGAGCATGCGCCCCTGCTGCGCCTCATGCCAGCTGGCGTCGGTAAACATTTGCTGGATGGACGCCAGCCTAAAAGCATGAGAAGTGCAGAGCCCTCAGTATGAAAGCAAGTTCAGAGAGAAAAGGATGTGACGAATTTAATTCTCATAATTCCCTTCCAGTTCTCGTGGGTGTGTATGTCCATCTTTGAAATCAGTATACCATCTTTATTCTACTTATTTTCATCCAATAATAAATTCCAGTGTCATAATCACAATGAACTATGTGCTATTCTTTAATCATTGCATGTTTACTTTTCATACGGAATTCTTCATGAATCCAGAAATCTGACTTTCCAGAGTGCAGCAGGCTAGAAGCAACGACACGTCAGGTTCCAGACATGAAGATCTGTGTCTGGGAGCCTCGGCACAGGGCCTGACACACGGCAAACATTTGCTGACGGACGGACAGTGACCAGACCAGCGATGGAGGGTGAGCTAACTTCAAGGCGAGTACAAAAGGAGCAGAAGGAGAGAGGGGTGCAGGGTGTGGCGGCCCGGAGCAGCGGTGAGCACGCACAATGCTCACGGCACGTTAGCGCCACCACGGACATTGGGAGTACTGTTGTTCGGGCCGGGGAAGAGGCCCGAGAGATGAATGGATTGTCTGAGACCCGACTGCAAGTTGATGGCAGGACGGGGACCTGATGCCACACCTCCTGGTTCCTGATCTAGAGTTCGGGGGGTTTAAATATGGCGAACCCCATCCTCCACCGCACCCTAGGCCCACCCGCCCCTCCTGCACACTGCCAGTGAAGAGAGGCCCAGGCCGGAGTCACGGTAGGAACAGAGGGCACCTCCCGGCAACGGGAGCGCGGGGTGCTACCCTTGGGCACCCCTGACTTGTCATGAAGCCCTGTGCACGTTCCTCCCTCCAGACCGCCCAGGGCCTCCGGGAAGCCCAGGGTGGGTGCGGTGAGTCTGCGCCGTCCTTTACCGTTCCCTGGCTCCTCGTAAGTGCTCGAGAAATCCTTAGGCAAGAGTTGCCATGCTTCCATGCAGAGGAGATCACGGATGCATGCGTGCACTCACCCATGTATTCCATCGGTATTGCATGTGCACACACCTGAACACAAGCACACGTGCCTTTCCCAAGCTACGCCTAGTTCCATTCGAAACCCTGGGTGTAAAGGGCGGAGTTTATTCAGGAGGTCGCTTCGTAACAATGAAAGGTTTCTTCCACATAGATGCTCTCTTGTAGAGAGGTGTGAACACATCTAATCAGTCATGCCAATGCGCTGTTCTGCAATGACCGCTAAATTGATCTTTACTTATTTCTTACTAACTGGATCTGACCCAAGGTCACTGTTCTCCTAAAGAAAATCTGAATTTATAGATAGGTATGAGCTCAAATTTTGCTTTGGAAGCTTTGGTTTTTGTTACTACAGTACACGTGGTTTTTTCATTTCCCATTTGAAGAATAAAACCTCTAGATTCTGAGCTGCAGACAAGATCAGAATGTGTCTGGGTGTCGTTCATATTTCAGGGGGAAAGAGGAGAGGAAGTCAACTTTCCATTTAAATCCCAAACATAAGAGATACACAAAAGGGGGGACCCTATGTGTTCAGAAAGGTGGACTGGATGGCTGAAAAGGCCTCGCTGGCGAGGTGGAGAGTGGACCTGACCTTTGCATAGCCCAGGGTAAGCCAAGAAGGCTGCGTGGACCCACAGCTGCGGCAGACCCTGGCCCCCTACAAGCGCAGACTCTCCCTGGAGAGAAGCATCTTGAAAACACGAGCTCACGACCAAAATTCACCAACCACAGATGGAAAGAGGGCCCTGGGAATGGGTGTCATCACCCATGGACAACAGTGTCCTTGCCTGGCCCGTGTCTGGGGCCGCCACCTCCAGCCAGGCTCCTGCCGCTGCACTCCATCCTCTCCAGCCTCCACGGGTGCTGTGGCTTTCCGGGAGTTTCCTGTAACTTAGTTCTTCCGCTGTTCCCTTCTACCCACAGAATGAAGTCCAAACTCCTCAGCATGGCACAGACACCTTCGCAGGGGAATCCCAACATCCCTTTTCTAGAGTCTTCTCTTCCCACCTCATGCTTCTCACCCAGCCAAACTCCCCATGTCCTGTGCTGGACACTCAGCATCCTTGACTGTGTCAGTTACTTTCTTGCCTCCATGCCTTCGTGCATGCTGTTCCCTCTTTCTGGGATGTCCTTCCCATCTTCTCCACATGGCAAACCCCTAGGTTCTTTCTAATGGCAACCTAAAGGGCACCTCCTCTGTGAAGTGCCTCAGAGTCCCCCAGAGTCAGTCCCTGCTGCCTTTGAACTTGTTTCATGACACCCCAGGTGGCTGCCAAGGGCAGAAACCTTCTGTTAGTGAATTCTTGAGCACCTGCCTCACTGTGGTTACTCAGGACATTTTTATTGAAGCATTTAAGAATAAATACGGAACTTTTGAATCAGACATGCCTGAGTTCAAATCCTATCTCTGTCGTTTCCTGGCTTTATGGCTTAAGTAAGCTGCCCAACTTCAGAGCCTGGGACTGGAAGACGGAAATAATAAATCCTGCCGACCCGGATGGAGCCTCTCCCCCATTCCACTCCCGGGGCTGACACCACCGACCAGTCGCTGCACGCTTCCCGCTGAGTGCAGACAGGCGCTGGCATCCTGGGCGTGGGCCCCAGGAGGCCCCGTCACATCGTACAGCTGCCACACAGCATGAAACCTACTCTCATTTCGGCCATGAAGGAAACGATACCCCACAGACAAAGTACGCACTTGTAGCACAGCATTTGTTCCGAGCAGACCCTCAGTGAATGACACCGGCCATGACTTTATTTCTTCAAGCCCCAGACCGTCAGATGCACTCCCGACTCCTGTGCTTTGGGTGGGAGGGGGGGTGGGAGACAGGACCACATGAAGTGGATCACTTGTCAGGCACACTCTGATTCCAGAGATTAAAACACGGATACGGTGAGTCTCAGACCTGAGAAAATCCAGTGAGACTGCGGAGTGAATGAACTGCAAGTGGAGGTGCTGGGGACCCCAGGGGCCTCTCTGACTCAGATGTGCCTGTGCCCTCAGGCTCCAGGCACAGTGTGGGGCAGAGGGCAAGAGGACGCAGTGACCCCCGGGGTCCTGGCCGCAGCCCACCCAGTGTGCATGCCATCTCGGACTGTAACTGACTCTCCAGGAGAGAGTGCTCAGTATCGGCCTCACCCCCGGGATCAGCCCGCCACTTTGCGTCCCTCCACTGTCTGTGTTGCAATGAAATGTATGCAGCATAAAATTCACCACTGTGGCCATTTTCAATGTATGATTCAGTGGTAGCACCGGTTACATCCACTGTGCTAGGCAACCATCACCCCGTCTGGTTCCAGAACTGGGTTTTCATCATCCCAGACAGAAACTCTGTGCCTATTAAACAAAAACGCCCACTTCCCCTGCTCCCAGCATCTGGCAACCACCAGCCTCCTTTCTGTAGCCACAACCTGGACCAGCCCCGGTCCTATCGGTGGGACCACTCAATCTTTGTCCTTCTATGTCTGAGTTACTTCACTTTGCACGCCTTCACGGTGCATCCATGTTGTAGCGTGTGTTCCTTGTAGCATGAACAGTGTTCCTTGTTATGGCTGAACACTGTCCCCTTGCACGGAGAGACCACGTTTTGTTTATCCACTCACCTGCTGATGGACACCTGGGTTGTTTTCGCCCTTTGGCAATTGTGTGAACTATGCTGCCATGAACTTGGTTGTAAATGTAGCCGAGTCCCTGCTTTACATCCCCTCAGGCACGTACTTGGGAAGGGATTGCTGTATCATGTGGTGATTCTACATGTAGCCATTTGAGGAATCGAGTGCACTGCTCTTTAAGAATAGCTTGTAGCTTAGCAACCAATAAATAGTCATTACCACTTCTACTATTGCTTGTAAAGAACTGTTCTCCTGTTATTTCGACTGGTGAAACCCCCAATGTGTGAGAGTCTGCAGTGGGGGGCACTGAAGGTCACAACCTAAATTTTGAATTGTGTCAGAGTCAAAGCAACAAGTTCTGAGAGTCTCAGGAGGTAAGGGCTTTCTCGGAACCCAGATTCTGTTTAAATCCAAAGAGGCCCCGAGAATGGGGCCGGAGTTACTTACAGGTGAGACAGGGAGGTCACGTCTGCGAAGATGCCCTCTGGGAGGGTGGAGATGTCGTTGCCGTGCAGGGACCTGAGGAGAGAAGAGGCTGTCGGTGACACGCAAGGAGGGCAGGCGCAGCCCCCTGCGGAGAGGGGTGCGGGCAACGAGGGAGACGCCCCGCCTCAGAGAGGCACCCCGTGCTGCTGGCCACGGGCGGGCAGAGGGAGTCCCCGATCACCCCAGTAGACCACCCTGTCCCTCAGCCCTCCTGGGACTTGGTTTCTTCCATCCCCGATAACCCAAGTGCCATTTCTATTTACGCAACAAACGGAATGCATGCAGCCAGGACCCCGAGGGGTAGGCTTTTCTTGGTAAGAGAGTTAGCACACAGGCCAACTGGCAGTAAACAATGTCACCCTGCTCCAGATGGGGCTGTCAGAGGACTCAAGTTCATGGATACACCATGGGCCATCATAACAGGCCTGGCAGGGGGCTTTGGTCATAGGGCAACACCTCACAGTGGGAATTCTTTGAGAAAGTTCAAGCATCTTGCAACACACCCCATCTGAACAGGAGACTCATATGCAATTTGGGGCTTCCTGATCTTGGATGGCCTCCACACACACCCCCCTCACACTCAACCTGAGGCAGAGAGCGACCCCCATTTCTCAGCCAGTTCCCCATTCATCCCTTGGACTCTGTTAGCACTGAAATGAGAGTGGACCAGCCTCCCGCCTGTGGACACAGTTGGCCCTGCAGGGGCCCCAGATGCAGGGCCGTTCCTGCCCACCAGGTGGAGGGCAGGGCCCTCAGTGGGGCCAGTTTCCCTGAAGAAATGAAGAGCGGGGACTTACAGCAGGCGCAGGGAGCGCAGTCCCTGGAAGGCCAGCGGAGGGATGCACTGGAGGGAGTTGTAGCTGAGGATCCTGCAGGGAGAGAGGGAGGGAGGGAGGGAGGGAGGGGATTGGTGTTTGCCTGGGGCTGCAGGCCTGTGCAGAGCGGGAGGATCATCAAGGGCCACAAGGAAACTCCCGGGGGTGACAGAAGTGGTCACTCTCTTGATTGTGGTGGTGGGTCCATGGGTGTGAGCATAAGTCACAATGTATCAAGCTGTACACGTTAAGTATGTGCAATTTACTGTGTATTAATTGGACCTCAGTAAAGCTAGTTTAGAAATGATAACAAGAGAAAGGAGCTGCTCCTGTCTACCCCAGGACAGGGCTCGGTCTCCCTTGCAGCAGCCAGGGGCACTCAGACTGGGACTGCTTGGCCTCTGCACTGTGGACAGGTCTTTGTCTGGGGCTGTCCTGCGCACTGCAGGGTGTTTCGCAGCATCCCTGGCCTCTAAGCATGAGATGCCAGTAGCTCCCCCTGCCCACCTCCCCCTGTGACAACTGAAAATGTTTCAGGCATTGCCAAATGTCCTCAGGAGGGCGGAGCCGCCCCTGGTGGAGAACCACGGCCCTGGACCACGGCAGCTGCACCCTCAGGCTCATGAAGACTTGGAGGAGGGAGCAGGCCGGCTCGTGAGCAGACCCCGAGGCAGGTGAGTGCAGAGGACAGAACCTCACTCAGTGCCTCGGGCCACATCCTGCTCCGGGGACCTGGCAGGTTCAGGACCCCGTGCTGCCTCTGCTGTTGGGTTGCAGTAGAACAGAAGGGAAAGTTCAGAAGGCTTTTGGCACATTGTCTGTCAAATGAGGTGTTAGGAAGGGAATGAGATATGCTCTTAAACTCCAGGCAAATAGAAGGGATTCTTGTTCATGCTTCCTTGGAATAGAATTAAAGCAATCATTAAATTATGGGTACAAAAATGTCCAGAGGGCCACTGTTCACAGTAGTGCAGAATGGAAACAACCCAAATATCCATCAACAGTGGAATGGATGAGGAAAATATGGCACATTCCTACATGGAATACTATACAGCACTGAAAAGGAACAGCCCACAGCTCCACACAATGCAAGGGGATCTCACAAGCATCATAGTAAGTGAAAGTATATATTCTGTATAGTGCAATTTATATAAAGTTTAAAAATGGGCAAAATTAAGCTTCATTGTATGGAAATGAGCTTATAGATGGCGACACTATAAAGACCAAAGGTCATCATAAAAGCCAGGGTCCAGGCTGCCTTGAGTGGAGAAGGAAGGAATAATAATCAGGAAGGGGCAGAGCAGCTTATGGGGTACTAGCTGTGTTTTTCACCGTAAGTATTTACACGTGCATGCTAGCTTTATGATTATCTGTTAAACTTCACATCTATAATTTTTGCACTTTTCTGTATATGTGCTGTATTTCACAATAAAAATGTTTTTAGAAGTGTTTTTGGCTGGCAGGCCCTGGCATGGTCCCTGGCAGGTGAGGGAGTCTGCATGTGACACCTACGAGTGACAGGGCTTGGGGAAAGCCATAGGGGGAGCCCTCCCACCACTGCCCCCCGCCAGCCACTCCCCCCCTCCCCGCCTCCAGGACTCACAGAGTGGTCAGCTGGCTCATGTTGGTGAAGGAGGAATTGCTTAAGGAACTGATCTTGTTGTTACTTAGGTCCCTGGAAAAGACAAAAGCCCCCAACAGGCAGCTTGATCCCAAGAACTGGCCCAGCATTAGCTGTCTCTCCTTCCTGTCTCTCTCAAGCGCACCTGAGCCCCCAGCACAGCTGTCTCACATTAGACCGAGGAAACACGGCCTCTCTCTTTGGCACTCTGTCGCCAGCCACCAAACCACTCCACCACTGCCCCCCGCCCCCCGACCACTGGGACCGTCGAAACACACTTGCTACATTATTAGTAAAGACTTATAAACTGGAGCTTCACATTTCTTTAAGCCAGTGTGACACAAAGCAGCCACCCTTGAACTGAATGTCCCATATGGCAGGGAACTGGTGCCAAAGCGTCACACCTAGGACACTAGACACAACTCACTGTAGCTAACGTTTTCTTCAGAGCAAGACTTCCTCCATGAAGAGAGCAACATGTGGATTCACGTTCTGGTTCGAGTTCCTGAGCTAACTGCAGACCATTACAAAGAGTCCTCGGGCTGCCCGCGGCCCACTGACCAACACTTTCAGCAGCACTGCTCCAGGCCGCACCCTGCACTTCTGCCCTGGGGGCCTCTGGCCAAGGAGCAGATAAAGGCCGTTGAAGTGGGGCGTTGGTCAGGCTGGAAGGCTAAGAGGAGCTAACTGACTCTGACGCTTATTTTGTGTTTTTTCATGAGGTGGAAATAACAGAAAAGCAGATGTTAGTCTAAAGAAAAAATTAGTTACCCATACTTATTTGTTGCTGCCATATTTCATATTTGGCTTGGGGGCCAAGGTTGGACTGAGAAATTTCCCATCACCCTCTACTTCTGCCCTGGTTCCTACTTTTGCAAGGCTGATCTGCATTAACAATAATTATCAGCCTTCCCTGGCTGGTGTGTCTCAGTGGGTTGAGTGTCGGCCTGTGAATCAAAAGGCCGCCAGTTCGATTCCCAGTCAGGGCACATGCCTGGGTTGTAGGCCAGGTTCCCAGTTGGGGGCATGCGAGAGGCAACCAATTGATGTATCTCTCACCCATTGATGTTTCTCTTCCTCCCTGTCTCCCTCCTTTATTCCCTCTCTAAAAATAAATAAATAAAATCTTTTTTAAAAATCCCACAATAATTATCAACCCAGAGGGAGGCTTGGGGAGATGCTGTGGGCAGAAGCAGACAGGACCTGACCCAAGGGAGCCTGGAACAATGCAACTTCTAAGCATGGCCACTAGGTGGCAAAGCAGTTCTATGCACAGAAGGAAGGGGGAGGATTAAACAAACAAACAAAAAAGAAACAACAACAAAAGGAATCAGCAGCAAGAGGGGTCTGCAGGGAATCCCTGGGAAGCTGGGGCCATGGCAGTCAGAGGCCAATGGCCCTCCTGTGCTCTGAGGCGGGCCTGGGGTCCTCAGGCCGCCTGGGTACTCACACAAGCTGCAGGTACTTGTAGGTGGACAGCTGCCCCGGAACCAGTGTGAACTGGTTCCCGTCCAAGTAGCTGCAGGAGAAAACACAACACTTAGTGCCCAGTCCCGTCCCCACCTCTGTCCCATTTGGGGAGAATCTTTCCTTGCAGCAGGGGCCTAATCACTCATTTCCTCTCCTGCCTGTAGACCACGCAAGGGCCCAGAACTGCTGATTGGAGGAGAAAACACACAAATTTATTAGGCTGAGTAGGTGCCACCCCCCAAACCTGGAAAAAGCCACTGAGACACAAAGCTGCCCTTGGCTCCCCTCCCCCTCCCATCTCAACCTCCCAGCCCCGCCCTGTCTGTGGGCCCTTCCCTCTCACTCTGCAATCTTCCTGGCCAAATAGGTCTGATCTGCACAATGATAGTTCTCAGGCCCACCTGCCAGCTTCCCTACCCCTCACCAGCTACTGGGCCCCCCTCTGCCTGACAGCAAGTTGTGTGAGGCCAGTCTTGGGGGAGCGCTGCACCCAAACACGCCCCACTCCGAGCTCAGTGTCCCCACACCCAGTCGGGCTCCCCCTACCCCATCAGCACCACACTCCCTGTCCCCAACCACCAGCTCCCAGACCCCGATGGTGATTCTCCAGCTCCCCCTGCAGCCAGCCCCGTGACCACTGGCTTCTCCTACCCACTGGTCTCTCATCATTTGCTTTTTTAAAAAAAGCTGCTTTTGCAATTGCAGCTAACATTGAATATCATTTTATGTTTGTTTCAGGGGTAGAGCATGCTGATTAGACAATTATTTACTTTACAAAGTGATCCCCCTGATAATTCCAGCACCCACCTGGCGCCACACACAGTTACTACAATATTGTTAGCTGTTCACCATTTGCTTCTGTTCTGTTCTCACCTCACCCCGGGTGCACACAGAGTGTCACCCGTGCCTGGCTCCTGCACAGCCACCTTCTGCCCTCCCAACCTCGGTCACCCTTCTGGGACCCACTCTTTACACAGCCACCCACGTCACAGCCCTTAAAGCCAAGCCCATCAAAAACTATCCCCAAACTTTCCCAGGTTCCCCACGTCTGCAGGGCAGAGCTTGGGATTCAAGAAGCCGTGAACCTGCCCCCTCTCCCCACTGCCACCTGCTATCCTTGCTAAGCAGTAGCCCAAGCACCAGCAGCTGAAGCCCCAGCTGGGCTCCTTGCACAGCACCCTCACCTGCTGCCACACTTAGGGGGGCGCCCCACACACCCCAGCAAAATCAGAGCTGTCCTCGCCCTGACCCATCCCTCTGCTCCCATACAAAGTGACTTCCCACCCATTTTGTTGAACTGTCTCAGAGGTCCTTCAATACACCCTAAAGCTGAGGAAACTGAGACTTAGAAGAGTCAGGTGGTTTTCCCAGCATCCTCCACCAAAGAAGGCAGGCTGTCACACCTGCCCCACAGCGGTCAGGGTTGCTGTGAGGCACCAAGGGGGAAACGGAGACTCCAGCACTGCAGTAGAAAAGGGGTCAGGTGATGGGGTGGGTGGGTCACCGGCCAAGGACTGCAGGGACTGGTGTGCAGGTGAAGAAAGAGCCAGCCTTGCCGGCAATGAAATAAAATGCAAATGTCATCGCTGCCCATGGGGAAAAGCAGAGCTCGGCTACAGAGGCTGGGGGGCCAATCCCAGGGGACAGGCAGGGTTGGGGACTGACCAAAGCCTTTGCTTCGGAAGGTCCTGTTGAAGAAGCCCAGTTGTCTGTGCCTGTGCCTGTCATTTACGTCCACACCCCACATGAGTTCAAAACCAAAGGCACATGGACAAAGCGTTTACACCACAGCACCCGGTGCTGACAGCAGGCAGGCAGGCCATTGCCACGCTCAGCTAGTTAGGGGACAAAGGAAAGAACTTTCCTGGAAGGCCATCGGGCAAAAGGGGGCCAGAGCCCTAACAAGGCGCTGCTGCTTGACTCAGTTTCAATGAAGCGGCGTCCACCTCGGCGCTACTCGTGGTGGTAGAATCGGAAACAACTCAAATACCCAACAAAGGGCAATGTGTTACATGGCTCACAGGAGACTCATGTGATGCGATATTATGTGGTGTAAAAACAACTTCTGTGAGAGTTTCCATTGCAGAGCAAAATGCTCATGAGATAATGTGAAGCAAAAAAAAAAAAAAAGCAATATTATTGCTTATTGTAAAGGCTGAGCTTAATTTAAAGGGACAAAGCACTGGCCAGGGGTGACTCACACCATCAGGTGGCTGCAGAGGGGGATCAAAGCAAAGCTCAGCGCCTTCTTGGAACCCACGTCTCCTGCAAAGCCTGAACTCTATCTAACTCTAAGCCGCTAGTGAGCTAATGTCCACTTGGTACCCTTCTTCCCTGACACCAGGCCTCAGGCTACTCACAGCTCTGTGACATTCTTGGGGAGGCCCTTGGGCAGGGCCTGCAGGTGTTTGTTGCTGCATCGGACCACTGTGTCCAGGCAGGCGCATTCCTGGGGGCACTGGGGGCGAGGCAGGCAGCCCCCCTCCTCCTGGCCTGCGGAGGAAGGCACAAAGCGGTGTCAGGGAGGGGACAGGCCTTCTCAGGGACTCCTGTAGCCAGAAGCCCCTCTTTGACCGCCCCCCTCAGGCTCAGAGAAGTGTCCTCTTGGCTGCACCCCTCCCCCACCAGGGATAAAGCCCCTCGGGCCTGTTTTGAGGTTAAAATAGGTCTTGGGTTGATCTCTTTGACGGAGACCCAAGGTGGCCCTGAGCGCAGCCGGGAAGGAGGATGGCAGCCGCACCTGTGCCGGAGCACCTATTACGTGCTGAATACTGCACGAACAGTCTCCTTAACAGTGCAGCGAGGGTGCCACTCCCACCCCCAGGACGAGGACAGAGATATGCTTCTTCTCTGTCCACTGAAGGAGCCGGGTGTCTAGAGCAGGGCCTGGTGCACAGCAGCCCTCGCAGAAGACCAGCTGAATGCATGAGCTTCTATTTCACTGAGATCTGGAGAGGTCCAGTGACTGGCTCAGGTCAGGAGACTGGTCAGAAGCCACGTGGGATCCGTCCCCCTTGCCTATCTGGGACAGCATGACGCCAACAGTCTGTGGCACCAAGGGCCAGCCAGGAGGCAGGTCTCTGGGTTAAACATACTTACAGAAAGAAAATCCACTAAAAGGTGAACCGCAATTTTCTCTGAGTGACGATCATTAGTCATGTCTTTTTTAATGCATATTTTCCCACTTTTTGAACTATAAGCACATTACTGCTCTTAGATGACACAAGACCACCGCCAGGCAGGGGCAGGTGCAGGACTAAGAGCTGGCGTCCTTGCCCCTCCCCTGTCCCCACCCACCCCTCCTCTACAGGGCAGGGGCAGGGTGCCCGCCGCGCACCCCCCAGACCCCCTGACCTGGCCCAGCCCGCCCTCCCTGCTGCCACCCAGGGCACACGCGTCACCTTCCTCACACCGGAAGTCAGGGAAGGCCACGTCCTGCAGGGGGATCTGCCGCAAGAAGTCTGGGTTCTGGCACCGCGGGTTCCCTGTCACGATCTTCCTCTTCCGCAGCCAGTCGCCCAGCCAGGCCAGCTGGCAGTTGCAGTTGAAAGGATTGGCCAGAAGGTTTCTGGAAGACAAGCTTTGTGTGACTGCAAAGACACCCTGCCAGTCTCTGTGGTCCCATCCAAGCCCTCCCTGCCCCAGCCCCCTGTGCTGCCGACACTGCCTACACTGCCCCGACAACCAACCACCCATTGCCAGCAGGCAGCGCTCCAACATGGTGAACCCATGTTTCTGCAAACCACAGGAACCCCAACATCCCCTGAGTTTGTCCCTTAAAGGAGCCAGCAGGTTCCAGCTCTTGGGATGCGGGTGGGCAGGGCTCCCGGGGTGGGGGGCGGGGGTTGACACAGAGCCCCAGGCCCGCCTGCCGCGGGCTGCGCTTACAGGGTGGAGAGGGCCTGCAGGGTGTCGAAGGCTCCCGGGGAGATAGTAGTGATCTGGTTGTCGTACAGCGAGAGGAGGCGGACGTTGCGCAGGCCCGTGAAGCTGTCGTTGTGGATGCAGCTGATACGATTGTTCCTCAGCATCCTGGGGGGTGGAGGGGAGGGGAAGCCCACACTGTGCCCTGTGGCCATCACCTGAGAGGCGCTCTGGCCACCAGCAGCCAGCTCACAGACTCTCCTCAGGAGGCTCGAGCCGCTCACAGCCCCGGAATCCTTCCGCCGCGCTCCCCTGCAGAGCCTCCCCGCGTCTGAGCCACCCTCCTCGGCCTCCTGCCGGCAAGACCCCACGCCCCAGAGAACCAGAAAGTAGGCGTCCCCACAGAGTTACCAACATCGGATTACGTGGCCCACTGCAGTCAGAGTCCTCAGCTGTCCTCTCCCCCTGAAAGCTGGGGCTAGGGAGGCGGGTCTCTTCCTTTCCCTTTAATGCGGGCTTTTGTTTACCGAAGTCCCGCCACCCAGCCTGCTCCCCGGCCCACACACTCACAGGGTCCTCAAGCCGTCCAGGCCTCGGAACATGCCACTCCGGATGGACTCCAGCTGGTTGGCGGTCAGGTGCAGCTCGCTCACAGAGGCAGCGCCCTCAAAGGCCCCGTCTTCGATTTCTGACACCTTGTTGTTGCTCAGATTGCTGGGAGAAGAGGCAGGAAAATGAGGAAGCTCAGGACTCCGCCTTCCTGTCCCCACCCCTTGCCCGTGTGGGAGCTGCCCCCCACACCGAGTCTCCCTTCTCCATCCCCGGCCTGCGTCCCAACCACAACCTTCCCGCCAATGGGCAACTCACATTTTCTTCAGATGCGTGAGTTTTTTAAACATGCCAGTGGCCTCCAGGATGGAAATCTCATTGTTGTTTAACCGTCTGCAAGAGGCAATCAAGGGAACTCACACATCCGTAAATAACACATTGAAGTGTCTTCCAAACTGAGAATTTCTGGGTTTCAAACCCAAAGGGGACTCCCGGCAGAATCTGTTTGACAAGGCCAACTGGCCCTGTTTCCGAGGTGGTCTAGCTGAGCGCTGGAGCCGGGAGGAGGGACGGCCACGAATGGGCATATCTTTAATATTAAAAATGCTATGGAAATTTACATACACAAATGATGTGTGTGGGGGACCATGCACATCATACATATGTGCACCAATTTATATTTTTAAAGAAAAGAAAGTTAAAAGATAGCTTAAGCCCCAACTTGAGCGAATGAAATCATGCCCTCCCAAATGGCAAAAGCATGACTAAGGAAAGGCACCCCCATTTCAAGCTGGTGACCTGCCCTGGATGCCAGATATTGCTTCAAGAGTCAGCAGGGCTGTGAGTCAGAAGCAAAGGGGCCACAGGGGGCAGCTTCCTGCAGAGCCAGCAGCTGCTTACTGGTGTCCCCAGAGGTCCCCAAACAGAGCCCGAGCAGAGGAAAACCAGGAGTAGCCCAGGGTGGTGGGGGGAGGGGGGGCAGGGGAGGAGCGTGGAGGGGCTGGGGGCCTCACAGGTCAGCCGTGGACTGGGGGATGCGCTCAGGGATCTTGGTGAGCTTCAGGCTGGAGCACTCCACCACGCTGGCCTCGCAGCGGCACTTGTGGGGACAGACCACGTCACTGTTGCACTCGCTGTTCAGCTGGTAATCCTCTGTGCCTGTGGGGCGAAGGCGGAGGCCGGGGCTGAGGGGCCCGGGGCAGGTTCCAAGCAGGCTTGCCCAGCCCTGGCCCTCCCGGGCACCCTCAGCCTGCCGCCCCAGCCCCCTAACCACCCACTGCCACCACCATCCCCAGACTGCCCTTGGTTCCCCCTCCCACTCCCTCCTACCTGGAATGAAGTACTGTTCCTTGGCTGCAAAGAGAAGCAGACATACAGCATGACGCTGGTGTGATCATCCAGGACTTGCAGGAACAGCCCAGCCCGCAGCCCCACTGCCCAGTGGAAAGCACCCCAGGAACAAGGCTGGGGTCCCAGATCGGGGCCCCAGGGCCCGTGTGCCCAGCCCCTGTGTGGAGAAGGCCTTCTAGGGAACACAGATGTTCCTGGCCCAGGCCAAGGCTGGGGACAGCACCACACCAAATCAGACCTCTCAGGGGTTGTCACAGCCTCAAGGACTCTCACGTGTGCTGACACCAGATGCAGGAGGCATAGGGAGTCATACGGCCTCCCCCAGGATCCAGGCGCAGAAGCTGGCCCGCACTGTCCCCAGCCAGAGGCTGCTCCTGCTGCCTCTGAGCCTGGGGGAGGCAACTCTCTCACTGAGGGGGGGTCCCAGCCCACCCCCCCACAAGTGTGTTTGTTAAAAGGGCTGAAAGCAGCAGCATGAAAGAGAACTGGCCTGGGCGTGGAGGACCTGGGTCCTTGTCTGGTCCTCCCTGGGGACCCTCAGCAAGCCCTTCCTTTCCCCAGGCCTCAGTAAAGGAAGGGTGGGACTGGACCCCACTCAGGTCCAAGCCTGCAGTTGGGGCCAGCACCCTCGGACACCCTTGCTGGAGCCATCCAGGGGACATCACAGTCCCTGAGCAGGCGGAAGACGGACCCGTGCGCAGGCAGCTACCTGAGCACCGGAACTTCTTGCTCTTGATCTGCCCGATGCGCTTGTTGGCGAGGCGCCCGGGGCTGGCGCAGCGGGCTCCGCTCGTCTCGATGGGGTTGGTGCGCAGGAAGTCCGCCAACCACTTGAGGTTACAGTCACAGATGAAAGGGTTCTGGGCCAGGTGCCTGTCCAAAAAGGGCGGACCAGGGCTGTATCTGTGCTGACCTCCATCTGGATGAGGTCTCGTTGCTGAATGAAGCTCCCACCTTGGAGCCAGGTTGGCCCTGGGGAGACTCTACCACCTGCCCACCACCCGGGGGCGCCCGCCATCTTTGCAGAGGTCGCCACAGCACCAGAGTGAGGAGGGGTCTCTGCAGGCTCTGGAGCTGCCAGCTGTCCCCGCCACAGTCCCCCCTTCAAGTCTCCTTGTTCCCCCTCCCTGGGACATTTTGGAAATGTGAATGGAAGCAGGAAGGACCTGGAGACTGGCCAGGTGAGTCTCCAGGTGAATCCACAGGTGAGGTGACAGAACAGGCACTAGAACCCAGGCTGCTCCCTTTTGGCCATTTTACAGGCCACCTCTTAACACAGAAAGGAAACTCAGAAAGCATCACTGAACAGATATGTATGGGGGGAACGCTCCTCTTCTCTCGCTGGGCCACCTGGTCCCTGGCAGGGTAATGTGGGGAGGGGCAGCTGAGAGGTGATGCTGACTGAGGGAGCCTGGGTCGCTGTGGGCTGCCTTTGCCATTGGTGCTGACCAGCCAGCAGGCTCAGAGCAGTCACATCTGAGTCACCCCAGCATCCAGCTGGACCCCCGTGTCTGGGCTACTGCAGCACTGGGTGTGCCCTGCTTTCCAAACCGAGATGGCCAGGGCAGAGGATTCTAGCACCTGTCCTGACTGCTGTCTCTGAGAGCCAGTGCGTCTATGTGAAAATGCAGTGAGACGGGGCAGGGGCCAGCTCAGAGGACTCACCATGCCGTGGCCAGGTTTCCTTCATCGTTGCTATCAATTCAGGCCGCTTATTGGCATCAGTCTGGCCCCACAGGGGGTGGGTGGCTGCAGGGCTCTCCAAGCAGAGGCCCTACCCTGCACAGGGCCTGCACCCAGCTCAGCTCAGACCCTGGCCTCTCTCTCTTTGGGCTCTGCCCTATGGCCTCTGATCAGAGCCGTCCTTGCCCAGCTGTCCCTGCCTCTCCCCTTTGCAGAGCCCCCCACTTTCCTGCCTGAGTTCTGGCTCCTTCCAGCTCCACCAAGTGGGCCAGGCCCCTCCCACCCCTTCTGTATCCAGTTCAACATTAAAGTCCCAATTAAAACTGTCAGTCTGCACAGAGAAGACATGTTTGCTGACTCCTCGTGGCAGTTTGTAGCTTATTTAAAACGTACTGGGATTCAGGGACTGTCCTGGGATCTTCCAGGCCGCCCACCCACATCTCTCTGGGCCTTCCTGCCAGGCCTCTGCCTGAACTGATTGCAGCCCTCCACCTCAACCTAGATAGAAAATTCTTTTAAAAACCTACTCAGTTATGTTGCTTAGGCGTGTTCAAGGGGTACAAAGAAGAATATATCCTTTTTAAGAGCAGGCAATTTGTGTTAAAACCAACTATAAAGCTTGAACTACCCACAGAGACAGGTGACCTCAGTGCACACTTAAGTATTTGACACAATTTGAATTTTAAACAAAATTCTAACCAAAATCCAAAATTTGGAAAGGGTGTGAAGCTGAGGAGGGAAAGTACTCAGGAGGAAGAGGAAATGTCCATTCAGGAAAAACTGGCCACAGTAAAGGCACACCGGGAAATGCAGGCGTGTGTGGGTGTGCGGTCACCTCCGGGAACATTTGACGGTGGAAGGTGGACCGGAAGACTGATTCTAGTGTTTTTCTTGAAACACACACTAAGAAGTTACAACTAAAAATCTTTGGGGCCAGCTGCCCAATCTCATTCATCCCATTAAACTCACAGTGAGATACCACTTCACAGCCACTAGGATGGCTATGATCAAAAAGACAGAAAATGTGTTAGCAAAGATGTAGGGAAATCGAAGCCTCCTAATGCACACAGGCAGGAATGTCACCTGGTGCAGCCACGTGGGCATACAGCGGCAGCCTCTATACATGTTAAACACAAATTCCCCACTCGACCTAGGAATTCCAGGAGAAATGAAAACGTGTCCACACAAAGATTTGTACGTGAATATTCAGAGCAGCATTATCCATAACGGATATTCAAATGCCCATCAGTCAGAGCAGAATAACCAAGTGTGGCTTATCCACACAATGGGAAATTATTCGGCAATAAAAGGAAACAGAGGAACGATCCACACTGCAGTAGGGATGAACCTGAACACCATCACACAAAGCAAAAGCAGTCAGTCACAAAAGATGATACATCGTATGATACCAATTTTGTGAAATCTCATAAAAAGGCGACTTTACAGAGAGAGAAATTAGATTAATGGTTGCCTGAGTGGGGGCTGGAAACAGGGACGGTTCTCCATGGGCGCAAGCGCTCCGGGGTGATGGAACTGTTCTAGAACTGGGGTCGTGATGACAGCTGAGCCATTGCAAGGGCAGTGAAATCACCGAACTGTGCACTTAAAACAGGGGATTGCCTGGCATGCAAGTTACACCTTATTAAAGCTGTTAAAAGTTTTTTGTTTTGTTTTGTTTTTTAATCTCTCAGAGCAAGTAAAATCGCAGCAGAATCAACACAGCGATGAGAGGGGCCCAGCCACAGACCTCGGCACCGCGGGCGAATTGTGCGAGATCTGGTGAGCATGAGTCTGCTCAGGCCTGATGCGGACCTGGCCTGGGGCTGAGCCAGGAGCCTCTGATGGCACCTTGGGTTTGTTTTCTTTTATTCCTGTTTCAAACTGTGCTCCAGTTGGGAACCAGCTACCGACTGACCGTGAGAGTTCAGTTCTGTTTTACAGCCTCAAACAATGAGGTCTACCCTCACAACTGAGAAGGAAGGTAACTGCTTTCTTAGTGGTGCTGAGGAGATGCCTGGGGTCAGGTCCCTGCTTTCGTTGGGATATCACACAACATCCTCGTGTGACCTTAGGTAAGTCGTGCAACCTGCCCCTGCCTCAGCTGCCTTGTAAGTAAACTCAGAGATGATAGCCCCTCCTCCCATAGGCCATTGCGAGTGTTAAGTAAGATGTTGCACATAGGGAACAGTGGTCCGGCACTTAGCAAGGGCTCAGTAAACAGCAATGATTACCGTTATCAGTGTTACTACTATTCGTGACTACATTTTATATATTATGTGATGTGTATGGTATGTGGTATATGTAATATATCTCGCCTATGGGACGCCCTCTTGTTTGAACATTCTGCCCCAGCTCTGTGCCCCCTTTTGCCCTGGCGGCAGCGGCCAAGATCTCAGGCATGGTGTCTGGAGGGCGGAGGTACTCTCTGAGAGCCAGCCAGGTAAACGGACACGGAGAGAGGCCACCTTTAGTGGCACATCCATTTGATTCAGTCCCTCCCCTCCCACCTTGAGAGGGAGACAGCTCTTCATGTGCCTGTCACTGCCATTGCCCACCCCGAGCTTTCCTGTGTGGGGGTCCCTGGCCTTGCAACCTCCTTAGTGTGTTTCTCTCGAACATTCTGCCAGCTGCTTAAAGTAATCCACCTTGCCCATGTCCACCTGTAGCCTCCAATTTCACGTACTTGGCAAGATTTCCCCATGGTGTGCCACCTTCCTCTCTCTGGCTATAAGGAGATTAATTAGCAGGAATGGGCTGTAGGTGGGTTCAGGGGCTTTAATGAGTTTGTCTTCATGGCCAACACCCCCACGGACATGCAGGGTCCCCAGGGAGCAGGAGCTGCACCTGTCCCGGCACCCCGGGCAGATGGTGTCTGAGGGAAAGGACTGCCCAGCAGATGGACACTGTGGGGGGGATGACAATGACAGTGATGGCTACGACAACATTAATAATAAATACCCACTAAGCACATGTCACCGGACCCACAGGCCAACACATCGAGTCAAACCACAGGGCCCAGAATTAAAGATGTAGAATGAAGAACACCATGTAACTGCCTATGTTTGTTTGGCCACGCAGTAGGTGACAAGAAATCTCCCTGTGCAGAAGCACTCCAGCTAAAACATAAGGACTCTTATTAAAAGCATAACCACGCCCACATGATCAAATGAAGAAAGAAAGTCACACTTCAGATATCACCATTTCACGATCCCTAATGAATGAATGGGCCCAGGCATGAAGATCAATGGCTGTGTTTATCACAGAAAGGGAGACAGCCAGACATCGTGTGCCGCCTGATGGAAGTATGAGATCCTACCAATGACGTCATCTTGCCAACAAAAGAAAGGGAAAAATTGGAACCTGACCAAGCTCCAGGAGTGATTTCTACCGGCAGGATGTAGACAGGACAGGGGGGTGTGGGGAACTGCTCAGGGGCGGGGAGGGGGGGTTTGCAGTCAGGGAAGCCCGTGCTCAGGGAAGCCCCGCGGAGCCCATGGCACAGGGTCCTCAACAAGGAAGAAGGAGGTGGGAGGGTCACTTAAAGATAACCTGAAAACAGTCGGGGCGGCAGGGAAGAGGGGTGTGTGCAGGGGAAAGGAGACCGACCCTAAGTTAAAGTTGGGCAATGAGGACTGGGAGGGCCCCTGCTTTTACTGTGTTTGCAACATTCTGTGACAGAAAACTAAATTCCTAGAGCTGTTGCGCACTAATTTTTAACTTATAATTGTCATTGCCATTACTAGATTTTTTCTGATTTAAGGCACTATCAATTGTAAGAAGTACTATTATTTTATGCATTATCAGAAAAGAACAGCATGCTGTTAATTAAGTGATATGCTATCAGTGATAAAATGCATCCCAATTTCAGAAGTGTTAATGTGAAAACAAAATGTGTCTTAAAATCAATGGATATTATTATTATTATTATTATTATTATTATTATTATTATTATTATTATTATTAATGGTAGCCAGCATTTAAGAAGCATTTTGAGCTAAGCTCTGTACAAATATCCCCTTTAATCTCATAAAAATCCTATGAAGAAGATGGTATCCTCATTTTATGAATGAGTAAGCTGAGGCCCAGAGAAGTAAATTAACTTGCCCAGGGTCACACAGGCAAGATGGAGCATAGCTGGGATTTGAACCCAGGATTGTCTAACCCAGAGCCTGTGCTCTTTCCTCCATAGAAACCATTCCCAGTGAGCAAAAGTCACAGGATAAGACAGTTGCCTGTGCCAGGAGGCTGTTACCTCCCCCTCGGTCCACCTGCTGGGGCGGAGGGCACTCACAGGGTCTGGATGGCCCGCAGGGAGGTAAAGGTGCCCTTGGCGAGGCTCTGGATCTTGTTGTCGTACAGGGAGAGAAGGGAGAGGTTCTGCAGGTCCTGGAAGGCATCGGGCCGGATACAGTTGATCTTGTTGGCGTTCAAGAGCCTGCGGGCAGAGCCAGGGCCAGGTGGTGAGGGGAGAGGCACAGCACCAGACTCGCCAACTGGCCCTGGGCACCTTATTCTCAGAAATCAGAGGGCACAGTAGCAAAGCCACCTTCCAAAGGCCTTTGAGAGGCTCCCCTCCTTCCTAGAGTTCAGCTGGGTTCTCCAGGCAGCTGAGATGGAGTCTGGGCTCCGTTCCTCTGGGGCCCAGAGGGAGAACCCTTGCCTGAACCCTGGTGGCTCAAGGAGGCTTAGCTGGGCCTGGGTGTCCCCTGCAAGAGACAGCTGTCTCCCAGCCACACCGACCTCCTTGGGAACAGAGGTCTCTCAGCTCAGGCACCCTGTGATCTGCTCTGAGTCACCTCCCTCCCCTTCTGGCCTCTGCAGGGCCCCAAAGCCTCTCACAGACCTACAACACCTGCCATCCTTCAAGTTCCTGGTCACAAGTGAAGCCCACGCCCCAGAGAGGTCGGAAAGGCCAGTGTGGAAGGCCCGAGAAGCATTGGCTCCCTCCCCAGGCCCCGCCCAAGCACACCCCTGGGTGGGTCCTTACAGGAGTTGTAGGGTGTACAGGCCTCCGAACACACCCCGGGGGAGATCTGTGATCTTGTTCCCATAGAGGACCCTGGAGAAAAGGCAGCAGAAAGGAGAGTTAGAGGACAGCCCTCCAGGCTGGGCACCACCACGGAGCCATCATAGCAGCGCGGGTCTGTTGTAGCAAGTTGCCAGCAGATGGCAGTACAGTGGTTAAGTTGCCTGTTCTTATTTCACACACAAGTACCCTGTGGGCTCCAGGTGGCCCCATGCCCGTTCTGGCAGGCACAGCCCTCACTCTCCGCCCCACACATGGACCCACAGAAGCCTGCAAGAGGGACCCTTTGGGGAACCTCATGGGGAATTAACCTGATCTGGGATCCAAAAGGAGGCTGTTCCAAGAAGAGAAAAATCTCACGGGCAGGAATAGTTAACGTACGAGCTCTGGCATGTCAAGCAAGTCTGCCCAGCACAGAGAAAACAGCAGGCAGAAGGCATCAGCTGTGTAAGATCCAGGCGGTGGGACATCAAGTGGCCTTTTTACACTACCGTATTTTCAGCCTCTGCACTGAGCATGCATTCCGTGTAGTAAGAGGGAAAAAAGCAGAGGTTCCCAAAAGATATGCAGGCAGGAATGAGTTCGTGCAGACAACCAAAGAATCAAGGGGGCTGGGGAGTGGGGTGCGTTTCCTTCCCGGTATCACAGGCAGCCCCCACGACATTCCCCCTCCACCGACAGTCAGTTTGGGCAGAAACAGCGTGTGCTGTCTCTTCAAACACGGTTCCCCATCGCTCCCGGCGCAGGGCACGGTGCCTGCGGTGGGATCCAGGCTGGCAGTGGGGGAGGAGCCCCCTGTGGCTCGAGTGGGGGAAACACATGGGACAGAGGCTTGGATTTCACCCACCCAGCACCAGGAAGCCCCCGAGACTTGACACAGTCCCTATTTGGAAAGGTCCCTCGAGCTGCTGTATGGAGAAAGGCGAGGAGGGGACAGGTGTGGACGCAGGGAGACAAGGTCAGGGTCGCCCGAAGTGGACAGCGTTCATGAGACCTATTTGTGCGACCTCACACGAGAGCTCCCATGTGATGGGGAGATGGATGGCTGTGGCAAGGCCCCCAAGAGCACAGAGCCACTTAGACGAGTTACTGTTACGCCCGCTTTAGAAGAAGCCTCGATCACTTCTCCGAGGAAGAGCCCTGCACTTCGCAGGCCACCTCCAGGGTCTGACCTCCTCGGCCCACGGCAGTGACCCATCGCCGGGCACTGCACACCCTAAGTGGTGTCCTTCACAAGGGCCTGTGACCTCGGCCTTGACTCCAAGAGAAGACAGTGTATGTAAAAGGCGTGATCTGGCTGCCTCCTGTACTCACCAGCAGGGAGTCCCATCCATTCCACGTCCCAGGACCCTAATCTATGGGAGGCTGTGTCCAGTGCTGTGGAGGGGCAGGTGGAAACACTGTTCCTGGGAGCAACAAAGACCCCCGCCAGTGGGGAGCTCACCTGATGACGGACAGGGCACCCTGAGTGCGCTCTCTACACAAAGTGCCGTGGGACCTCCGAGAGTGAGGGGCTTGGAGGACACGGGGTGGGGGTCGGGGGTAAGCAAGGGGTCTTGGGAAAAAACAGATGAAGTCACATTCCCAAGATGAATTATTTTGGTGTTGCTACATTTAATTTTTATTTTTGTTAGGTAAATTGTGGATGCTGCATGATGCTTTGTGGGTTGACAGACCCCCCAGTAAACCCTCGAGAAAGGGAAACAGAGGAGAGAGGAGGAGGAGAACGCTGTCTTGGCATTGCCCACCACAGCTTGGGATCAGAGCATGTTTGGAATGGAAGATACAGGTGTGGCAGACATCACACTGGAGCTGGTGGCTGCTGCCATTGTAGGTGCCCCGGGGAAGGTTCAGGAGCACAGAGTACTAGGCCTCGGTGGGGAGGCAGGGCCAGCATGAAAGCTGGGCCGGGTCAGATGGCTGCCGCAGAGAATGCTGGGAAAATCCCCACCATGGTGGAGAGAGCATCCCAGTTGCCTGGGCAACAGCTCTGCCTAGATTTTCCATGCACTCAGTCCTTGATTCGCTTTCCCCTCCCCTGCAGAGGGTCCACTGGAGAAGAAGGGGATGCTGGACACACAGCAACCCTGGACTTTGCAGCCAAAGGGAAACCGGGGTGGGTAGGGGCTGTGCTCTCCCTCCAGCAACCCCCCCAGGGGCCTTGGGCTCTGCTGGCCTCTTTGGGAGACCCCCCAGCCCCCTGCAGGAGCCTTGGTGCTGCTACTCACAGCGAGTTCAGGGAGCGGAGGCCCTGGAAGGCATCAGGAGCGATCTCGGCGATCTGGTTGTTGCTCAGGTCTCTGCAGTGAGCCGAAGAGAGGGTGGCTGAATCCCCCAGCGGCCACTAAGCCCTGTCTGGTCCCCTCTACCTCCCAGATGCCATGGGAGGGCAGGGGCCCCTTTGACATTAGAGAGGGGAGGGGCCCACTCTCCCATCCATCAGAAAAACCCATGGCCACTATTGCTCTGTGAGGTTCGAGGGTCATGCACGGTGCGGGCAGGTGGAGTGCTCCAGGCGTGGTCTGTTTTTGACAAGGCTCTCCCCCACCTCCCCGCTGTCTCCTACGTCCCCTGTAATGTCCACAGTGGCTCCCATTGGTGTCTAAGCTGATGTGGGAGGATGACAGTCAATTCTGGTCATATGCCAGACTGGGCTCCACACTTAGGCCCCAGGACAACCCTGCAGGAGGGTCACAACACAGTCATCCTCACATCGCAGATGAGCCACCTAAGGGGCAGGAACTCAGGCAGCGCCTGCCCGGGGCCTCTCGGCCACCAGAGCAGAGTCAGGACCTGCCCGGGGCCATGGCATGCCAGGCCCGGGGCCTTGCTCCTGCCCTAGGCCAACTCTCAGGAAGCCGCGGGAAGCACTCACATCCGCCGCAGTTTTCTGTAGGGAGAGAAGGCTCCCGGGGGGATGGACTTGATTCCATTGAGCTCTAGGCGGCTGCAGAGAGAGAACAAGGAAAGAGAACACAGGAGGTGTCGGGTCAGATCAGCCCAGTGCTGGCTGTTGCCTGCTGGGCTCTAACCAGGCCCTTTGTCCCCCTGGCCTGCTCCCATCCACTGTCTGGAGTCGGTGGGCTGGCATAGGCAGAGGAAGGGGGCTGCTGTGATGTGAGCTCCATTGTCCCAGGCTGCCATGGCTGAAGGGGGCCCACGAATGATGCTAATACTAAGAAACCAATTCTAGCAGCTTCACCCAACTGGGCTGGACAGATAAACCACAGAGGAACACCCCCACTCCCAGCCCTCCAGAGTTGCCCAGCCTTGGCCAGAGAGCTCAGCCAGCAAACTGACTTCTCCATTTGTACTGACGGGCCTCAGGGCAAGCCCCAGGGCGGTGCCGCTCCAGCTCTTCCCTGGACCACCAGGGCCCCACCCGGCCCCAGGGCCATGTCCCCGTGCCTGTCCCGCCCTGTACTCACATCTCTGTCATGGTCTCGGGCAGGTTGGCGGGGATGGCAGTGAGGCCTTTGCCACGACAGTCCACAATGCCGTTGCTGCAGGTGCACATGGCCGGGCAGGAGCCGGAGGAGAGGTTGCAGGAGGGCGCGTGCCCTGCCTCGCCCTGGCCTGTGGGAACAGTGGGCTGTGACCCTGGGTGTCCCGTGTCAGCGCCTCCCTCCAGAGATACACACTGATGAGTAGCAACAGAGCGCACAGTGTTTCTCTGGGTGAGGGTGGTCCAGAGACCACCAAGAACTCCAATGTACCTCTGTGGGCACCGGGCACCTAGAGGCACTTGTTAGATGTTTGCTGAACTTGAATCTAAACCTAACTGTGCTGCACAAAACTGTGGTTCAGGTGCTAGGAAGGAAACCCTAGCCTAAATTCTGAAGCTCCAGGTTCTCGTCCAAGCCATGTAGCACTTTTAGGTCTAAGTCTCCTCGTCTGTCACCAAAGGATGATAACGACTGCGTTTGCTCAGCACATACGCTGTCCCACATGCTGCAGTGAGTGCTATCCATGTGGTTTCTCCTTTAATCCTGCCATTCCACTGAAGAGGAGAATGACAGTATTGTGGCCATTTTATAAGTGAGAAAACAGAGTCCTTGACATTAATTAATTTGTGGAAAGTCGCACAGCTGATAGGTGCTAAAACCAGGATGAAGCACAGTATCTGATAAATTACTTTAATTAAAGCATAAGCTACATAGGGTGTACTCTCTTATGTGCATAGCCAGCTGACTTCTACTTATGGGTGCCCCCACAGAACTGTCCCCCAAACACAGAACATTGCCATCACCCAGGCAGGCCAACCGCCCCTTCTTCAGTGTCACCATTGTTCTGAGATCCAGCACCAAAGATTTGTTCTGCATGTTCCGAGACTTCCCACAAACAAAATCAGACAGCAGCGTCTCTCCTATCTGGCTTCATGGCTCAATGTAAAATCTGTGAGATTCGCCCACATCGTATGTATCATCAGTAGTTCATTCTTTTGTAATGCCACCCAGCACTCGGCTGCACAGACCACCATCATTAGCTAACCCCTCACATGTCGGCGGACGTCAGGGTTGTCTCCCGCTCTGGGAGCTGCCTGGGATCCTCCTGGACACGCGTGTTCACAGAACACATGCACACACCTAGTGGGGATGCTGCAGGGTCACAGATAGACACATGTTGGGCTTTTGTGGGTTCTGCTAAACAGCTGTGGGAAGTGGCTGAGCCAACTTACACTCCCACCAGAGTTTTTTTAATCCTCAGTTGAGGATATGTTTATTTATTTTAGAGAGAAGAAGAGGGAGAAAGAGAGAGGAACATCTATGTGAAGGAGAAACATCTATTGGTTGCCTCTCACATACACCGAGACCGGGGATTGAACCTGCAGCCTAGGTGTGTGCTGACTGGGGAGCAAACCCTCAGCTTCTTGGTGTACAGGATGATGCCCCAATCAGCTGAACCACCCAGCCAGGCCCCACCGGAGTTTTAACCTCTATTTTTTTCCTTGGCTCCCCCGAAAGGTGGTTGCCAAGATCAAAGCGACAAGGTTAGGAGGACTTCTGACATGCTCTGGAAATGCTCTTCTCAGGAGTGGGGCTGTCGCAGTGAGCAAACTCTGCAGGTGGGGGTGGGGTGGGGGGGCCTGATTATAGAAACCAAGGCATTCTAAGTGCAAAGAAAAAGGTTTCATTTCAAAGAAGCGTCCAAGTGAACTATCCATTTCTCTCCCTAAACCTTTGGCTGCTGTAAGGACTCAGAGCAGCAGCGCCAGCCCTGGCTCTCTTCACACTCGAGCGCACGCACGCCTGTGTGCACACACAAGCCCACACTCACACACACTCATTCACACTCTTACTCTCTCCACATACATGCTCATGCAGTCACACACACAGACACGTGCACACACACACACACACAGCAGCCCTGAGCACAGCAGGCTTCAGAGCAGCCTCGGGTGCTGCCCCCGTGGTGCATGGTGCGTGGTATGAGGCGAGCCTCACTCTCGGAGGAGGGGGAGCCAAGCCCAGTGCACGCTCTGCCCTCAGAGCTCTACGCAGCCGGCAGGCTCAGAGGCCGCAGGGCTGGGAGACATGGGCAGCCCCCAGCCCTCTGCTGTGAACCCGAGAACCCTTCCCTCGCTCAGCAAATTTCTCGAGCATCTCTCTGCCAAGCATGGGCAAAGCGCTGGGAACATGGCCAGAAGCCACGACACGCTTATTCCACGTGCTCGAGGAGGTTACAGTCGGTGAGGGACCACCCCAGGGTCAGAGAAGGCTCCCGAGCTCTGCGGGGTGAGGGGGAGTCAGCGGGCAAGGAGGCAGGAAAGCTGAGCCAACAGGGGAGCCGCCTGCAGGAAGGCCGGGTGGGAGGCGCCTGCTCCGGGGAGGGGCGGTGGCAGCCCGGCCAGGACGCAGTGAGTGAAGAGGCCTCGGGGTGGCAGGGGAGGCTGAGCCCACCCTGCCCCAGCCTTGCAGAGCTTGAGGGCAGTTTGGACTCTCCCAGGAGCACCAGGCGGACAGTGAGCACGAGGTAGCAATGACCTGCTCAGACTCGGGGACCCTGTTAAGTCTTTCTGGTTGCAGTACAGAGATCAAAGGGGCCAAGGAGGAGTGGGGTGGGCAGGCAGGAGGCTCGCACAGGACCCCAGGCAGAAGAAGGGGGTATAGACTACGGAGCCCACCTCATCTCAAGCTGAGGCTAGATGGGCCAATTCAAAGGTTTCCCAGGGTAGCAGGGGTGAGGCAGTCACAGGAGGGAAGAGGTGGTAACAGGAGGAGGGAAAGTGGGTAGGACAGAAGGGGACAATGAGGGAAGGAAGACATGGGGGGCAGGAAGAGAGGATAGGCTGGGGCAGGAGGGAAAAGGAGCGAAGGCTGGAGGTGGTAAGTGGAGACAAAGGCGATGGGCGAGAACAGGATGTGACAGGTGGACAGGAGGGGGAGATGGGTGGGCGCAGGAGATGACAGAGGACAGGGCGTGAGGGGTGAAGAAGGGAGGCGATGCATAAGGAGAGGAGGTTGTGTGAGCCGGATGTTAATGTGTGGTGGGGACAGGAAGTAATGGGGGGACAAGAGGAAGGGGCAGAGGCAGGCAGGTGATGGGCAGTCCAGAGTCCCAGCGGCCGGCACCCACCTGCGCAGCTGAACTCGCTCTTCTGGACCTCGGCCACGTTGAGGCCGCGCAGGCTGGTGGGGCCCGAGCACTGGGTGAACAGCCCGATGGTTGGCCGCTGCCTCAGCCACTGCGAGAGCCAGGCCAGGTGGCAGTCGCAGAGCAGGTGGTTGGAGTGCAGGCGGCTGCAGGGGGACAGGGCCGCTCACAACCCCAGCCCCAGAGCAGGACCCCCTCCACCTAGGAGGGGCCAAGCCCCGGGCGCACTCAACCCAAGAGCAGTCTACGCTCCCTCGGCCCCGCAAGCCCTCGGCTCCCACCGGGGGGCCTGTCTCCAGCAGCCGCAGGGAACGCCCCTCCCCCACAGCTGCCCGTTCCCTCCCAGCATGCTCGGCGCACCCCCTCGGCTGGGTACTGCCCAGCTCGTGCAGACCCACCCGCCCCAAATCACGTAACTCATTTTCAAACACAAAAAGAAACCATTTGTTTTCCAAAGAAAAATCAAATACGAATGACATTCAACATCCTTTCCTTTTAGGTTAACTCCCCTGACCCTAGCTCCTACGGGCCCACCCTGGCTGGCCGCTGGGGACGCAGAGAAAGAGCCCCCTCCCCCGCCCCGCCTGTGGAGGCCTCGGGCCCCTGTCCCCACTGCCCGGCACCGCAGCTGTCCCCCTGCCACCTGGGTGGACTCACAAGGTGCGCAGCTTGGGCATGTGGTTGAAGCTGGACACGGGGATGGTGGTGATGTTGTTGTTGTTCAGCGTCCTGACGGGGAAACCAGAGTGGGTCAGCCCCCGACCGGCAGCCTCCTCCTGCAGGCAGGAGCCTCCGTGGAGGGAGAGCGGGCCTTCCCTCCGACGGACAGGCAGCCTCTCCCGCTGTGTTCCCTGGTCCGCCTTCGAGCTGGACCAGCACCGGGCTGGACCCGGGGGGCTATGCCAAAGGGCATGGGGCTTAGAGCCACCCTCAGGGGAAGCCCCGAGCTGAGGCGGGGATTAGGCGGCAGCTGCACCAGGGACTTGGAGTCTGGCAGGACCCGGGAGAGGAGCAAGGAGGCGAGGCCGCGCGTGCAGGCTCAGGCTGGCTTACAGAAGGGGTGGGGTTTAGACAGCCCTGTGTCAGAAACTCCTGGCAGACACCGCCATCGCCGTCGCGCCGGGGGTCCGCATAGGCAGGATGAACCTGGGCCCCACCACTGCAGGCACAGAGCCTTCGTGAGCTCGAGTCTAGGAGGGCCTGCAACCCGCCTCCAGGCTCCTGTCTCCTGTGCTGCTCCGGCGCCCCAGCCCCAGCTGCCTGGGCCCCGGCACCTGCGTGAGCCGGGCTCTCCGAGCCTCTGCTTCCCTTCCCGGGTTTTACTCACAGCACCTCCAGCCCGCGAAGGGCCCGGAAGGCCCCTTCCTCGATGCAGCTGATCTGGTTCTTGTCCAGCTGTCTGTGAAGCAAAGGAAGGGTGCAGAGAGGGGACATGCCGCTGAGAGCAGGAACGTCCAGATGTTTTAATCCGGCACCACATTCACCTTTTTAAAGAGTCCTGGCCCTCCTCATTCGTTCAGCACAAACGTGCCAATCCAAGCAGTGAATGATGAGAGTTTAAATAATTCCTCACTTTTAGTTAGAGCAATAAATGTAAATAAAAGCTGTATTATATTCCTCCACATAACCTTGCATATGTCCTGGGGAAGAGGCACCCTGCCCCATTTTGGAGGCCACCTAGAGGGTGCTGGCAGCTGAAAAGTGAGTCTGGCACAGAAGCGAGGGCAGCCAGAGCTGGCAGGCAGGTTTCCGCCCGAGTGCCAAGTGAGACAGACGAGCTGCGGCGACCTGGAGCGCCGCTCTGCGAATAAGCTGCAGCTGGCTCTGGGCTCCTCGGGAAGGAACGCTGAGGTCAGTTACCAGCGTCCGCTACAGGCATGGGGGCGGGGTCAGGGAGTGACAGGCAGGCCCGGCATTTGCCGTCCCTGCAGCAGACTCGGGGAGGTGGCAAGCCTGGACCAGAATAAATTTGAATAAGAATAAGCCATTCCATTTAAATTGCATTTGACAAAGTGCCATGCCACATCTCATTTAAACCTCAGGACAAGCCTGTGAAGTGAATGTGACATCCTCATTTTACAGAACAATATATTGAGGCTCAGTGAAGTTAACTGACTTGTGGCAGCTTATACAATTAGTGTCTGAAAGATTCAAGCCCCACTCTCCCAATCCACCAATGGGCGAGGGCAGGAGACTTTCCATCCAAACGGACAAAAAAACGCCACCTTAGAGGCTCACACTTAGGACATTCCCTTCAACCAGGTCCTCAAAGGCTGCCTGTTTCCTCCCACTCCAGATTGTTCCAGAAGACCATGCTGGCACCAGCCACCTCAGAGCCCAGCAGTTCCTTGGCTGCCTGGACCTCAGGGCCCAGCAACACCCACAAGGACACTGCCAGGGGTGGCCCTGCAGCACCCAGCCCCTCCCCATCCCAGGCTGGTACTCACAAGTTTTTGAGGTCCGTAGCTCCACGAAAAGCCTTCCTGGGGATAGCCTGGATGGCGTTCTCACTCAGGTCCCTGTGAGGATTGAGCCAAAGGGAGAAATATGCTGGTGAGCAGAGATTTCTCCAGAAAGCCCTGATGAGCCAGGGAGGTCAGGGGTCTGGACAGAGGGACAAGCCACAGCTGCATCCCAGGACTGTGCTGGTGCCTGGCCCACAAAGGCCCTGCATAAGTATTCACTGAGTGAATGAATGAGTGAATGAATGAATGAGCTGGAGCTTGGTACCCAGCCAGCCACTTCCTGTCCTCTGGGCTGGAGGGTTGCAACTGGAGGGAGAAGCTTTGGGGAGGGGTACCCAGCTGTGCCAGACCCCACCCCTGCCCCCTAGACCCACAGAGGTCAGCTCAGCCTCAGAGACACAAAGGAGACAGCAAACAAGGAAGGGCACCTCAGGGCCCACGGCCACCCTGGGACCTGTGGGGAGTGCACGGAAGCCCACTGTCTCAAGAAAAGCACCTTTGGCCCCCAGGCTACCCAGCCAGTAGGTGGCCACACAGGTCCGAACCTCCAGGCTGGGCCTGACCCGACCCCCACTCTCAGGACCCTCTTCACTGCGAGGGGCCTCTTCACTACAGACGTTTACAGGTGTCCCTTCCCTCCCACAGCAGCGAGGCCAGCTGCCGTGGGCTCTCAGCATGGCCCCCGGAGCCCCACTGCCCAGCAGTTCACGTGTGAGTGCGTCTAACCCTCACAGGTGCACACGGTAAAGGCTATCACCACCCTATTTCGCAACGGGGAAAGGGAGGCTCAGAGAAGTTAAGCAGCTTCTTCAAGAGAACACAGCTGGTGGGTGGTGGCTTTGGGATTTGAACCCAGGCCGTCAGGTCACAGAGCAGCCCTGGGAGTGGGAAGCATTACCTCACCCACTCTACAGAGGAGGGGACTTAAGCATTTCACTCAAGGTTGACTAGGATGGGGACCCCGGCAGTCTGCCAGAGAGCCTACACCAGACACTTCCGATGGCCAGGGCCAACTGTCCCGGCATGGGACCCACGTCAGGCAGCCCGCAGGCCCCAGCCCCTTCTCCTGGGCCAGGCCCTCGGGACTTGGCCATCTCTTCCTGTCACCCATTCACCCCATGGGCCTCAGGCTTCACCTGAGAACACGGCCCCCAGGCCCCCCAGCACTGTCCCCTGAGCTGCGGGGGCTTCCATCATTCTGTCTGGGTTTTTCTGCCAAGATGAGGAAACAGAAGCGCTGCAGCAGAGTGCACAGGACCCTGAGCTCCGAAAGGCCGGTTCGAGTCCCAGCTCCCACCTCCTGCCTATGCGTCTACAGGCCGGCCCAGTGTCTCTGTGCACTTGGTACCAGGGCCCGACAGCCCACACTGGCTCTGTTGTTCCCTTGGTCTGTGGGCCTGCTCTCGCCTCTTCTTCAGTGGGATGCTGGGTAGGGTCATCTGACAGGTGAATTACTTCACTGGGTGCAAGGGCTGAGCAGGCCACCAAGATAAAGGAGATGGCCCGAACCCAGGAACTCACAGCCACAGTCACGAGGGGCCAAGGCAGATGTGGGAGCCCCACACGGAGCCAAACTGGCTTTCATGGAGCACCACACACCTGTGGCACCCATGGGCTCACACAAGTGCAGGCAACCACAGGAGCACGGAACACCCTAGAACACTCACAGCCCGTGGGGGGCACACAGGAAACCAGTGAATGAAATCTCCATCCTTCGTTCGACGAGCATGTGCTGGGGGCTGGCTACCTGCTGGGGGCACTGCGGAGGCGCACACTGCAGCTCACAGCAGTCGTGGGGCGGGCAGTATTTCCAAAGAGATGCGCGAGCCTGGGGAAGCGCGGGACCCACTCTGCCCGAGCGGCAGGAAAGGAGCTCTGAAGCAGATCCTGAAGAGTAAGTCAGAGCTCACCAGGCAGAAAGGGGGAACCCGGGAGGCACCTTCTGAGCAGTGGGAACAGCATGTGCAAAAACCCAGAGGCAGAAAGGGGCAAGGCAGCTCGGCAGGGGGCTATCGCACAGTTCAGTGTGGCTGGCAGGGGTCTATGGGAATTTTGTGGCGGCTTAAAAAATTGTCCACGAATTCTTTGACATTCCTTCCTTGAAAAGATGAAGCTTAATTCTCCCCTTCATTGTGGTGGGATTGATGAACTCACTTCTGAAGAATAGAGTATGACGGAAGTGATGGGTAATCTCCAAGATTAGGTCATAAAAGATCCTTGTAGCTTCCTCCTGACTCTCTCAGATGGCCTTCTCTGGGAGAAGCCAGCCAGAATGTCACCAGGACACAAGCAGGTCTCGGAGAGGCCCACATGGAGCGGGCCCGAGGCCTCCTGCCAGCAGCCAGTACCGGCTTGCCAGTAACGTGAGTGACGCATCATGGGAGTAGCATCTCCAGATGATACAGCCTGGGCTTGATGTTTGTATCCCTGCCCAAATTCAGAGGTTGACATCCTCACACCCAATGCAATGGCATTAGGGAGTGGGGCCCTGGGAGGGGCTTAGGCTACAAAGGTCCTCCTGAGTGGGGTCAGTGCCCTGATAAAAGAGTTCTCAGAGAGCGTCCCTGCCTTTTCCGCCTGGGAGGGCACAGTCAGGAAAATCTCGTGAGAGACCCCAAGTCAGAACCACCTGGCCACCTATAGGAACTGTGAAGTAATAAGTGTTTATTGTTTTTGTGGGCCACTGTGTTCTGAGGTACGTGGCTACACAGTGGTCAACGACTAAAACAGGGGTACTTTGCGGGAATGAGCCAAGAGAGGAGAGGCTTGGAAGCTGCGCGGAGAGCGTGGCCCTGGCATGAGGGCGTGAGGACCCTCGGGGGTTCTGAGGAGGGCAGGGCAGCGCTGAGACTTGGCAAGGATGAGCCGAAATACGTTAGGGACTGGGCTCCATCACTTCCCTCTTTGGGCCTCAGTTTCCCCATTCGTCAAATACAGAGGCTGGACCAGATGATGTCTGTTCTCCTCACCAAGGTGTGTGTACCCCATGCCGAATACCCTGAGACACAGCAAGGGAGGGGCTCGGCTGCTGGGGCATTTGAGATCCCAGGGAGAAGGTGAGGGACAGGGGGCCCATTGCTGATAGTGTGGCTTCTGAGGAGTGGGATGGAAAATGACAGACTCTCCTGCTCCTGCCCTCAGGGAATCAGAGAGCAGAGCACATGTGGTGACGGCAAGACAAGGGCAGGGAGGTCAGCGTCCTAGAGACATCTACAGAATCAGGAAGATGGAGGCTGCCCGGGGGGCGAGGACCTCCAGCGGGGCCCTCGACTTGGCCCCAGCCGGCCATCAGCCCTTCAGCCAAGCCTAGGGGGGAGATGGGCCGTAACTCGCATCCATTATTCTGTTTAATCCTCACAACAGCCCTGCAAGGAAGGTTTTTCTGCTTGTATCGATTGTTTTATTGACTTCGGCCAAGCTGGTTCCAGAAAGGCTTTGAGGTAGTTTACAGGGATTTATAAAGCAGCAGGAGAGCAGGAGTGAAAAGTGGGTCAGAGAGAAGAAGGAAATCAATGGCAGATACCAAGAATGCAGCTGCAGGCGACCCCCACACCAGCCAGGTCCTGGCGGGGCATATGGAAAGGGGGTACTGGCCAGTTAATAGCCCCCAATCTATGAATAAATGTAAAAGGACCAGATTCTCCAGAGCATAGCTATTTGGGGCACCACGATGAGACAAGAATTTCCCCAGGGGTCTTAATAAAAAAAAGACAGCGTGGTCTGATCAATAACATTAGATCCTTATAATAAATGGGTTTCAAGTGTCTGCTTCTTAGAACAGCATCACATCAAAGTGCGGTTCGGGGAAAGCAATTCTGTAAGAACTCACACCAGGAGCTCGGTGTGGGGGAGGGGCGGGAGCACTTTTGCAAGGGCAGGAGACACGGTGGAGTCTTGAGTGATCCGGGGAGCCGGTGGATTTGCCTGGAGAGGAAGGTGCTGGGGAGAGGAGTTGGCAGAGAAAAGCCTTGCAGGCCAGAGAAAGTGGCAGGCTGGACCAGAGAGGGGTGTGTCTGACGCTCTGTAGACCTTGCTCTGGGGCACCAGAGCTTACAGAGGGAAGACGCCATCCCTGGGCATGCAGGCGGAACAGCTCTGAGAGCCAATCCGAGAGCTGCGTGTCCAGGGGCGGAGCCGAGCGTACCTGGGACCTTCGGCCCAACCCCGGGTCAGGCCACAGCACTGAGCAGCTCACATGGTTTAAACGAGCAAAAGAAACAGAATTGGAGACGCTGGAAGAGGCCAGCCTCTCGACCTGAGGAAACCCGGCGAGCCTTGGAAGTCTGAGAAACATGCAGCAGGCTGGCAGCAGAAAGGGCTTGACTTTGCCGTGAGAAGGTTCTCGGTTCAATTCCCGCTTCTACCATTGACCAGCCGTGGGCCCCAGGAAGTTAGGCACCTGAGAGCTAGTTTCCCTATTTGTAAAATCGAGATAGAAATACCTCTGGGCTTTGGAAAAGATGCAGTTCATATATTTAAGCCTCTGTCCTTTTACCTCCATTTGGCAAAATTTCATAAATGCTGGCTTTTGTCCCTCCCTAAACAGTCTGCCCAGTGCTTTTCTGGGGTTCTGACTATTGTTTCCATCATTTCCTCTAGGGGGCGCCAGAAGCCTTTCCTCGACTTGGATGTCCTCTCCCCGCATCACAGCACAGAACAAAGCTATTCTCTCATTTTATTTCTTTTTCTGCTCCAATTGACTTTCTACCTGGTCAACAATTGTTCTGTGTTTACAAAACCATTTGAAATAAAGTTTCTCATCTCCGTTTTCACCCAGTTGCCATGAAAACCCAAAAGGCACCACCCACACCTTTCCCCATCACAGTTCCCCAGTCCAAGAGCCTCCTCTCGTGATGACCTTGTCACAGGTCCCGAAGTGACGAGTGTGTCGGGGCAGAAGGGCAGATTCTGAGGGAGACCACCCTGGAGGAGGGAGGGTTCCGGAGCTGGAAGGACAGCACTGGGGGGCCTGTCCTGGCCAGGGTAAGCGAAGGGCGTGGAACCATGGGGCAGACGGAGGCTCAGAAAGAGGTCCCAAGCAGGACAGCGAAAAG